TGTCAATCAATGGAAGGGTAACTGATGTGATACAGCAATTTGTATACGGGGTAAAAGCGGGAGTTCATAATCCACTTGAATCAAACCGTGTAATATGATGTATTAAGAACTATGTAATGTTATGAACGACCAATAAAAAAAAAAAGTTACTAATAAAAAAAAAGAAATTATAAAAAAAAAAGAGTATAAAGTCAAACTAAGTAAAGCTGTCCTTCAGAAATGAAGGAGAGATACTGAGGGTGTGCATCACCTGCCTTATGAGAAATGTTAAGGGGAATTCTTCAAGCTAAAACAAAAGGATGCAAATTAGTAACATGAAAAGACCCTTATAACTAAAGTGATTTTAATCAAGGAAAATACTTCTTAATTTCAAATTATATTACAAAACTGCTGTAATCAGAACAGTATGGTACATGCATAAAGACAAAGACCAATAGACAATTAGAAAGCCCAGGAATAAATCCATACATATACAATTAATCTTTCACACATGTGTCAAAATATACAAGAAAGGATAGTCTTTTCATAAATGGTATTCGAAAAACTAGATATTCATGTGCCAAAAACAAAAAGGAAATTGAATGCCTGTCTTCTACCATTCTCAAAAGTGAACTCAAAGTAGATTAAAGATTTAAACATGGGGCTGGGGATGTGGCTCAAGTGGTAATGCACTCGCCTGGCATGCGCAGAGCGCTAGGTTCGATTCTCAGCACCACATAAAAAAATAAAATAAAGATGTTGTGTCCACTGGAAAACTAAAAAAAAATAAATATTAAAAAAATTCTCTCTCTCTCTCTCTCTCTCTCTCTCTCTCTCTCTCTCCTCTCTTTAAAAAAAAAAAAAAGATTTAAACATAAGACCTGAATTTATAGAAGAAAACATAGAGGAAAAGTTCCATGACATTGGTCTTAGCAGTGATTTTTTTTTTTTTTTGGAACAGGGAGAGAGATACAGCAGCAAAAGTGCAGGCAACAAAAGCAAAAATAAAAATAGTGAGATTACACTAAGCTAACAAGTTTCTGTCCAAAAAAGGAAACAAGAATATAAAAAGATAGCACCTCTAGAATGGGAGAAAATATTTGTAAGCCATAAATTATAATAATGGGTTAATATTAAAAATATATAAGGGATTCCCATATAGCTCAATACAAAACAAAACAATAATATCCAAACAATTGAAAAAAAGGCAAAGCATCTGAATAGACATTTTTTCCAAAAAAGGTATGCAGATGACAGATGACCAAAAGATATATGAAAATGTATTCAGCATTACTAATTGCTAGGGGAGTGCAAATCAAAACCACAATGAGATTTTCACCTCATAGCTGTTATGATGACTGTTATCAAAAAGTCAAAACATAAGAGTTGGTGAAGATGTGGAAAAAAGGGAAACCCTATGTACTATTGGTGGCAATGTCAATTAGTGTAGCCATTATGGGAAGTATGGCTACAGTATGGAAATTCCTCAAAAATTAAAAGTAGAACTATTGGTCCAGCAATCCCACTCTGTTTATATAGTCAAGGAAATATAATCACTGTACAAAGAAATACCTGCACTTCCATGTTAATTGCCGAATTGTACACAATAGCCAAGATATGGAAACAACCCGTGTGCATCAATGGATGAATAAAAAAATGTGAATATATGGCATATATGCATGTATACATGGTAGAATATTACTCAGCTTTAAAAAGGAAGAAAATCCTACCATTTTTTATAATATGGATGAACTTGGAATACATTATACTAAATGAAATAAGCCCTATTCAGAAAGGCAAATACGGATGATTTTACTTATATGTCAAATCTGAAAAAGTAGAACTCAGAAGCGGAGTAAAAGTTGACTGTTGGGGATTGAGGTGAGTGAAATGTGAAAATGGTAGTCAAGGGGTACAAACTTTTAGTTATAAGATCTGGAAATTCTAGCCAGACATGGTAGCACATGCCTGTAAATCCCAGTGGCTCAGGAGGCTGAGGCAGGAGGATCATAGGTTCAAAGCCAGCCTCAGCATCTTAGTGAGGCCCTAAACAACTCAGCAAGATCCTGTCTCAAAATAAAAAATAAAAATGGTTTGGGATGAGGTTCAGTGGTTAAGTACCCTGGGTTCAGTCCCCATTACAAAAAAAAAAAAAAAAAACAGATTTGTAAGTTCTAGAGATGCAATATACAGCATAGCAACTATAGTTAATAATAATGTTTTATATATTTGATTTGCTAGACAAATAGAGTGTAAGTATTCTCATAATACAAAAAAAAGGTAACTGTGGTGATAGATATGTTAATTTAGCTTGACTTCAGTTGAGATTTTAAGTGTGTATACAAACATTCCTTAATATACATTTGACTGTCAGTTACACCTTAACAGAGTAGAGATTAAATTGTGTTGAAGTATTTTATTTTTCTTTTTAATAAAATGACTACACTCCAGAATGCTTTAATATGTATAATGTTATTATTTTTTTCAGAGGCGAGGGAATATTCCTCTACTTTCCTTTCTTTCCTAGGCCATATTTGCCTGTTTTATACTATCATATATACTTTCTGTATATTGAGACTTTTTTACATAAGTTTAAAAATAAGGATTGCTAATGTTAATACCTAAATACTAGTAAAACATGTATTCTTAATAGTTTTACTTGTCTGAAAGTTTGGGAGAATTTATTTTTGTTTGATTAATCATCTATTTCTTTGATTTTCAGGCAATCTGAGTACGGTGGTGTAGTGTTTGGTGGTTGGGCACGAATGGCCCAGCCCATTGTGGCTTTCACTGTAGTTGAGGTTGCCAAACCCAACATAGGTGAAAACTGGCCAACTCGAGTTCGTGCAGATGTCACCATCAATTTGAATGTCAGAGATCACATCAAAGACGAATGGGAAGGTAATTTTATATTTGAAATGCTAAAGTTGCCTTTGGCTTTTTTAGTTTGTAGATTTTTCACTTAAGAGTATTAGCAAAGTACTTTACTAAATGTTACCCTTTTTTCTTTTTTTGAATATTTTTTAGTTGTAGTTGAACACAATACCTTTATTTTATTTATTTATTTTTATGTGATGCTGAGGATCGAACCCAATGCCTCACACATGCTAGGCAAGCGCTCTACCACTGAACCACAATCTCAGCCACTGTATTCTTTTTTAAATAAAGATTTTTCTGGGCTGGAGCTGTAGCTCAGTGGTAGAGCACCCACCTCGCAMGTGTGAGGTGCTGGATTCGATCCTCAGAACCACATAAAAATAAACAAAGATATTGTGTTCAGCTACAACTTTAAAAAAAAAATCCATGATTTAAAAAAATAATAATAAAGATTTTTCTTAAACTTTTATTAAATCTTATCCTTGAAATTTGATTTAAAGGAAGGCAGTTRTTCTTCTAATTATTAGTAGTAAAAATACCAAGGATCATTCAAGAATATTGAAGTATCCCAAATATTTTAATAAAAAGAATAAGATCATATATGTATCCCAATGTTTTGGAAATTGCAGTTTGCAGAGCTGAGAGGAGAACATTTTAAGTCATAAGTTAGGATAATGTGAATTGATAGGGACAATTCAAAAAGAATAAATACAATAGTGTTCATTTTAGAAATGGAGAATACCCACATATTATTAGCACACATGTTCAGTATAAGAAAGGAAAATTGGTATTTTTCAGGAGATAAAAGCAGCCAAAGTGAAAAGTATAGGGATGTGTATACTTTGTGAAGAATAAAGATTAAGAAAGGAGTTTGGGGAAAGGAAATACAGTGAAATAACTCAAAAAGAAATAATAGTTTATTTTCACCAAAGTGAGGAAGGCAGATTTTCAAAAAAGTCAGTGAAATCAAAAATTTATTCAAAGGTACATACATAACAGTTATAGAGAAATGAAACCAGTGATTTTTCCCTGTTTTTTACTAGGCAAGATTTTAGGGATCAGAGTTCTATGTCACAATTCTTTCCAGAGGCAGACATGTTCACAGTTAGCAAGTCAGAATTAAAACATCACTAACACCTGTGCCAGAAGTGGCTCATGAGCCGATTTTTAATTGGCACTTTTATATTTTCCCCCCAGCTGTCTGTGAGACTCTTACTTGCTGCCCTGTTGTGAGAAATAGTAGCCAGTAGGTTTAATCTCCTGCTACCTTCTTTGCATGCCAGAAGGAAAAGGATACTCCCTTAATGGATCAGTTTTCAGAAATTATTGCTCCCTACATAGCTGTCAACATATGGAACATATGATATATTTATCAAGGAATTCAGCAATGAAGCTGGCCAAATGTTTAACAAATGGCTAATCTAGTGAGTATAGTTTGTGACAGATTGTTTTTTTGACTCCTATATCCTTTAAAAGAGTTCCAGTCTGTTGTAATACACATCTAGAATGACTTGCACCTTAATTATTGCTGAACCTTGAGAAAGACATTAAGTTGGTGGAGAAACTTAAGGAGATATTAAACACTTCTTCTACACAGAGTGTATCCCTGTGAATAGTAATGTTTGGGATTGAATTCAGGGACACTCGACTGCTGAGCCACATCCCAGCTTTATTTTGTATTTTATTTAGAAACAGGGTCTCACTGAGTTGCTTAGCCCCTCACCATTGCTAAGGCTGGCTTTGAACTCGTGATCTTCCTGCCTCAGCCTCCTGAGCTGCTGGAATTACAGATGTGCACCACCATACCTGGCCAATGGTTGGGAATTTTAAGTTTTTTCATAGACATTTATAAATGACAGGTGACCCATATGCATTATAATGTTAAGGGGGAGGAAAGGGTGTTTTACTCAGAAACTCCTATTTCCCCCTTGGCAGTTGCTATCAGAAACCTGAAATAGATTTTTCTGTTTTATTTCCTCCTTCCCTCCCTCCCTTCTTTCCATCCTTGCTGTCTTTGTATTTCAATCAGTCTTTCTGTTTTTCTTTTTAAAATAGGCCTTTGGTAGAATAATAAATAGTGGGTATATGTTGATGAGTAAGCAATAAAGTATTTAGGGATTAGTGATTCATATTATGGAATATTGTGGTAAGAAAATGCATTTTTTTATAGACCAGGGTTCAGACTTAGATCCTATATTGATCACATAAGGGATAACCAGGTAGGAAATTGGAGCAAAAAATGAGAGAGAGGCCCTGCAAATATTAATGAATGTTGTCTTATAAAAATAGAGAATAGTTTGAAGTTTTCAAAATAGAAATCATGAAACATTCATCTTGTCCCTTCAAGAAAATTTGAAACTCAGGTCCTTATCATTTTTATTACCTACATTTAAAATTAAGAAGGCAGAATTAATGAAACTGAAGGCTGGATTTTCTCTAGAAAGCACAGCCAGGAGAGGGTGGATACAAATGATTAAAAAGAGACAGGTAGTTGAGCTCATTATAATGTAGGTTTTAAGAAAGGTACATCTACAATTTATCTTAGATCACAGGAGAATAATCTGCTTTTGAAAGGAACAGATAGTCATACCTTAGTAATGCTAAAAATTGACCTCTACATTAGGAGAAACTTGTCAAAGCCACTCTTTGTCTCTTAGACTTGTAAGTTTTGATGGGTTGTGCAGATTAGAAGTCATGGCGGTACTATAACACAGATAGTAGAATGGTTTGCTTTGTTCTCCTTGCATATCCTGCTTCTTTGCATAGAATGTCAGAATTAAGTGTTTCTAGCTTTATCCACACTTGCACATGCTACAAAAGAAAATTGATTCCAATACTATTAGCCACACATCATATTGGTGATTTAATTTAGTTGTATATCTTCTTACCAATGTTTTGAGCAAGCAAACTATTTAAATTTACAGTTATGTATATAGTGGCTAACAAAAATGGATCAAGGGACTGGGGTTGTGGCTCAGTAGTAAAATGCTTGCCTAGCATGTGTGAGGCACTGGGTTCGATTCTCAGCACCATATATAAATGAATAAATAAAATAACGGTCCATTGACAACTAAAAAAATATTTTTAAAAAATGGATCAGAAAAGCAATGACAATTAAATTGCTTAACATTACACGTTATGTGGTATAGTCCCTGTCATGTAGTATCTGTGTTTTTTAAAAAATTTTGTTTGTATGTATGTGTGTGTGTGTGTGTGTGTGTGTGTGTGTATGTGTATGTATGTGTATAGATAGATAGATAGCATCACATAAAAATAAAGGCTGAGAATCAAAGCCAGTGCCTCACATGTGCAAGGCAAGCACTCTTACCACCAAGCTACAACCCCAGGCAATAGAGCTAGGAAGTCATTTTTCTTTTCTTTCTTTTTTTTTTTTTTTTTTTTGTATTGGGAATTGAACCCAGGAACACTTTACCACCACAGAGCTATATCCCCCACCCGAGTCCATCTTTAGAAACAGGGTCTCATTAAGTTGCTTAGGTCCTTGCTGAGTTGCTGAAACTGGCTTCAAACTTTGGATATTTCTGCCTCGGCCTCCTGAGTCACTGGGATTATGGGCATGCACCACCATGCCTGGCTATTTGAGTCTATTATTTGATCTGATGGCTGTGAAACTTTGAACTTTGACACAAATCTCTTTTTTTGTTTGTTTGGTGCTCGCACGCGTGTGTGTGTGTGTGTGTGTGTGTGTGTGTGTGTGTTACCAGATATTAATCTCAGGGGCATTCTATCACTGAGCCACATCCCTAGCTCTATTTTTGTATTTTATTTAGAGACAGGGTCTCACTGCGTACTTAGCACCTCGCTTTTTGCTGAGGCTGGCTTTGAACTCAAGATTCTCCTACCTGAGCCACTGGGATTACCATGCCTGGCTCAAATCTTCTAGTTTTTGACATTCACTTACAAAAGTGTTCACTATTTGCATCTAAATCTATATATATTTAACCATATTTCTCATGGTATTATCTGTAAACAATCTTTTTGTGCCTTGATGAATTATTCTTGATTGACCTGTTTTAATGCAATACAGTTAGGCTGTATTTGGAATGACACTGATAGGTGGCTTAAATTGATGTTAGAAACCTACTTTAAAAAAAAGAAACCTGCTAAGTATGATGCATATGAGTTACATGGCAACCACATTTTTGGTTATTTACTAAGAATGTTAAAAATAAGAATGATGATGAGCATCCAATTTTGGAGTATGACTTAAAAGGCTTATTCAATAATGAATTCATGATATAAAAGTTTCTAATTTAATATAAAAGAAGTTTCAATATAATTATTGCTGTGAGATATTAAGTATTAAAAGTTATAGGAAAACTCATAATTGTATACAATGCAAATATGATCATTGGTCACCCTTAATATTTAAAATTGTTTTTTAATATCTGTTCCTTATAAAAGGTTGAGAATTTGCCAACAAAAGACTAAAACAATGAAGTTCTAAAAAATAAAAATGTCTTTTTATGTTTTACTAGGTCTTCGTAAACATGATGTATGTTTTCTAATTACTGTGCGTCCCACAAAACCTTATGGCACAAAGTTTGACCGGAGAAGACCATTCATCGAGCAGGTTGGCCTGGTTTATGTCAGAGGCTGTGAAATCCAGGGCATGCTGGATGATAAAGGGCGTGTCATTGAGGATGGTACGAGGGTCTGTCTCTTTGAAATTGTGTGTACAGAATAAGTTTCTTTGCCTTTTTTCTTTTTGCTTCTTAAGTAAAATTCTTAGTTGTGTACATACTAATTCAACATAAAGAGTATATAAAGGATGTGTAAGGTACCTACTTCAAAGTTTTAGAAATAAGTACTATGGTTCAAATCTTCTGTGTTAGATGTAAAATATTACCCCATAAATATGCACAATTATGTGTCAAGTATTTTTGTAAAAGTTTCTGTGTTAGATACTGGAAAGGATAGGATCTTTTTGAAATCACATTTATTCAAAACTATCGTTTTATAATACTTTTTTGTAATACTATTGCTTTGAAAAATTCCTGAACAATTCTTGTAATTGTTAAAGCTTTTTTTATATTCAGTGATATATTTATCTAATTGTTTTCTTAAGTTTTACTGTGTTGATTCATTACAGTAATGGTTCTCAACTGGAAACAATACTGCTCGGCATTTGGAAATATGTAGTGATACAAAAATTGTCAAATGACTAGGGTAAGGGTGGTTAATGACAGGCTGTTGGCATTTTGTGGGTGAGGTCCAGGGATGTTAAACAGAATTATTGTATAGACAGAATGACCCTGCCTGAGATGACAGCATATTTTCACTTAAAAACTGCTTTACAGGGTTAGTCACCTCTTATATGCTTATCACTAATTGTTCCTTTGAAATTCTTTCTTCTGTTGTCCTAACTTCCTTTATAAAAAATACCTCTTAAATTATGAGTACTCCCAAGACTAATGTTTATTTTACAACTTGGTTGATAAAGTTCCCTTAAAACTTAAATCAGCTTCTATCATCTATGATTTTGAGATCACATCACTGCTAAACTGCTGCTGTCTGGGCTATTCATCTCTAGAATAGAAGGAAATGGAGACTGGGTAGAATAAACATAAGGCTACATAATGGAACTACAATTTGAGGTCTAAGACCCCAAAAGAGGAGAGAAGGCAAAGGGACAAAAAGAAGCATTTGGGCTTTCAGCCATTAATACCCCATTTTTCTGTATATATAAAATTTTCTTTTATTCTGGTAATAGTAGACAGAATGTAGAAGGTTGAGGAGAGTGATCAGCCTCTGTCAAATTAGGAATAGAGAATTTTTATCCCTTAAATCTCTTAAGTATGAAATTTAATTACTCTGAAAATATTTATGAGTACTTACTGTATGTAAAGCCCTAGTAGGAGCTATGAGTGACTGGCAAGATAAGTTCTTTGATTTCTAAGAGCTCCAATATTAGTTGGGGATATATACAAATAGTTGCAGTTCACAGCATTGCATCGTAAATATTATGTGACTTGAAATGAATCATAAAAATCTATAGAGAAAGGAGAAAATGCTTTCAGCTTCTTGGAATATGAAGTGGATAAGTAGAGGGCATTTCAGTGAGAAGAATGGTTAGAGTTAAGTCTGGATGGTCTATCCAATTTTTTTTTTTTTTCCTAGAAAAGAAATACTGTTAACTTACTTCAGTATTTGAAAAGTATTTAACAAACTTTTAAAAATGTTTAGGACCTGAACCCAGACCCAATCTTAGAGGAGAATCAAGAACGTTTAGAGTATTTTTGGATCCAAACCAGTATCAACAGGATATGACCAATACTATACAAAATGGAGCAGAAGATGTATATGAAACTTTCAATATAATAATGAGGAGAAAACCAAAGGAAAATAACTTTAAGGTATTGTTTTGGCTATATAACTAAAAGTACTTATGTCACAATTTAAATAATCTTAAGACAAAATGCATTAATGTTGGGTATAAAAGATTTGTTAAGCAAATAATAATCACTTTAATTTTATTCTAAATAATATTCTTAAATTCTTAACATTGATTAATAATTTAAGGAAATTAATTTGTTAAATCTGTTTTGTTTTTTGAAAAATAAAAAACTTAAAATATGAATGGAGGTTTTTTTCAAAAGGTCACCCTGTTGTCTATCTTTTTTTAATATTGGGTACTCAGTTTATATCCCAGGATGAAGTGAAGAAAACTGTTTACTTATTTACTAGAATTTCTCTTTTAAATCAAAAGTAGATGTATATCCAAATGTGGAACCCCAAGGCTCTTAATTACTCTGATATATAATATATCTGTACTTTATTCATTAGTGGCAAGGAGAGATTTAGGGACTTATGATTTTACTTTTATAATTTTGTGGGGAGAAGAGTTTAAGGAAGATTTTTAAAATTATTACTTGAAACTATATTATAAACCTTAAACATTGAGCATATCTAGCATTTGATAACATCTAGATTTTGTGGAAAGTGCCCTTCTTTCCTCTGTACCCCAAAAATGCAGAGTTTCTTGTACATTCCTATTACTTTATTACCTCTTCTTACCCATTGTTATGAAAACAAACCAGAAACCTGTCAAATAAAGAAACTTTCTCACTATAAAAATAAAAGAACCATCTCTCCCTATTGTTGAAGACAAGAACAGTGGAGATATTCTTGATTTCTTTTTGTTTAAACTACACATGCAATCCATCAATAATTTGATTAGCTTACTACCTCCACTGATGCCATGTCTAGACACCTTCAATTCTCCCATCCCTGCATCATTCTTGTGAGATACTTCCATTCCACTATTCCACTATTCTCCACCTTGTAGCTGAATAATCCTTTTAAAATGTAAATTATACTTTGGTTCCCCTTTGCAACATTCTTTAATGTTTCCTGTCATTTAGGAAATTCTTACCATAATTCAGAAGGCCTTGCCATATATGTCCTCTGGCTTCCTCTCTTATTTTCTTTTATCTCTTTTATTTCTTTTATCTCACTAAATAAAAGCCACACCATTTTTTCCTTTCTTTTTTTTTCTTTTTTGCTGTTCCTTAATAATCCAAGATTGCACATAGTGTTCCCTCTCCATAGATGGTCTTTCTTGGTATTTGCATGTTTTTTTCCTTAATTGCACATGAACAACTGAGTTTAAATGCCAACTGGTAAGAGAAGCCTTCCTTGGCAACCTTACTTGAAGTAGGTAAGATTACCTACTTATCCCTTCTCAGTATTCTSTATCCTATTAGCTCTATTTGTTTTTCAAACTCCTTGACATACCTGATAATTATATATTTACTAATCTGACGTCACCGTTAGATGGCAAGATTATGAGGGCAAGATCTTTGTCTTTCAACATAGTCTTAACACCTAGAGCTATGCCTGGTATATAGTATGTGCTTAACAAATATTTTTTGAGTGAATGAAGGACAGTCTCACATTTAGTCAGTTTTCAGTAAATGAATCTCAATCACTTTACTTTAAACAAAAAATCCTTTCCTATATGTATTTATTTAATGCTTATAAAGATGAATAAAACACAACTTATACCTTTAGAGAGCTTAACTACTAACAAGGGAAATTAGAAATATAAACAAATAACTACCATGAAAGATTAGAAGGTGCCAAAAGCCATAAGAAGGGTACACATGAAGGTATCAGGGAGTTTAGAAGAGACATCGAGGTTCTGATCAAACAAAGGGGGAACTTGCCTGTTTGGGGAAAGAAAGAATACTTTTTTTGTATCTTGGGTGTTTTCTTGTTTACCTGAGCAGCATCCCACATTTCCTTCTTTCTTTTCCAGTTCCTACAGCCTATTCTGATCTGTATATTTCACTTCTTCCTAGACAGTTGTATGTGTCTCTTCCCTAGTTTCCTCATAATTACCTGTATTTCATACCTTTCCTCCTATTCTTAACACTGATCATTTTAGTCTTGCTTCTCAGAACATTTCTGTGACTTTCTATTAATGATGACATAAATCAGAGTGCTTCAGAAATTCTTTACTTGAGCTAAATTAAAGTGCCACTGTCCTTCATGAAACCTTTTCTAATGTTAAAAGCCTGCCCCGCATCCATATCTCTCATCCACTATGAACTATATTCTTCTTGTATTTTGTAGTGTTCTTTACTGTCGGCCACATTCTGCTGCTTTGTTCTTGCCAAGTTTGGTCTTTTGTTTAAATCAGGGTATATGTATAGTGAAGGACATATTTTATCTCCCTGCTAGAATTACAATTTCCTTACAGGGCAGAGCTTTCATCTTATTCATCAGTGTTATATGAACATACTCATTAATCTGTCTGTATATCCATGCATGCATCCCATATTCAAACTGTTCTAGGTCCCTCCTACTCTGAAAATTATATTTTAGTTGAGAGTTAAACAAATGACAAACAAGTAATGAAGTATATGAACCAAGCGAATTTCAGATAGTGAAAAAGGCAAGTATATAAAACCAGGCACTAAGATTAACATAGTCTATCCTGTGATTTTTAAATTGGGTTTTGTAGCAATTACCATTTAAAACAACATTGATTTGGTTATTTTATTCTTTGAAATTAATAGCCTAATTTCTATATGTAGGATAGATTACTTTGTTGAGGTGATTTTTATAAGAATCTGCCTTGGCTTTTGGTAATTCCTTTTGACAGTATATATGTATTAGCTACTATAATAACTTTTTGTTGTAGTCCTGATTCTTTATTCTGTAATTTTACTTGACATTTTCTTAATTTTTATAATTTTGTTTACTTTATTGTTATTTCTCGCCATGCTAATTTTAGTATTTCTGAGTTGTGATGTGTTTCATGATTTAGGCATACACTAATGTGCTCTAGTTTTATGTGACTTTAACATAAGAACTCTGGATTATAAGAGAAGACGACTGCAGGAGTTTCTAAGGAAGCCTTTTCTTTGGTTCTGTAATGTTTTCATGCTATTGGGTTGACATGAGTCTGATTTTTTTCCTACTCAATAGGAGTTAAGTGGTAAATTCATTTATGTCATTCTAAGTGAACTCAATGGATAAACTGTTCTTTCTAAGTTTGGTCTTTTGTTTAAATCAGGGTATGGTATCAGCTGAAAATATAGCTGTTGATTCAGTCTAGCCAAGCACCTGTCAGCAGAAAATAGCTTCTTACCCTGAAACACTTGGGAATTCTGGATTAGTGCAGCCAGCTCTGCATTCCAGTGAAGTGCAAATGTTTGAGATGTCTTATTGACACAATCCTTTTCTGTCCTTTTACTGACAGGCTGTGCTGGAGACTATTCGAAACCTGATGAATACTGATTGTGTGGTACCTGACTGGCTGCATGATATCATTTTAGGTTATGGGGACCCAAGTAGTGCCCATTATTCAAAAATGCCCAATCAGATTGCTACCCTTGATTTCAATGATACATTTCTCTCCATTGAACATTTAAAAGCCAGCTTTCCTGGTCATAATGTTAAAGTAACTGTGGATGACCCAGCTCTACAGATACCCCCTTTCAGGTAAAGTCAGACCTAGATGTACTCCTTTCAAGCCTTCTATAGTCTGTGATAGGCCATTAGCACCAATGGCTAAAGTGAATTTTAAGTTATTTTATCAGGTTTTTGTTTTGACAGCCCCTACATATAATCACTGAAATAAGTTATTATATTTTACTCTTAGGGCAGAAGCTATTTTAAAATCACAATTAAAGTAGCTTCATGTCTTATAAAAAAAAATCAGTAAAAGGACTGGAGATATAACTCAGTTTGTATAGTGCTTGCTTCACATGCACAAGGCCCTGCATTTGGTCCCCAGCACCACAAAACAAAAGCAAAAACAAAAATCAGTAAATGTGTGTTGTCTGGAGAAAATGAAATATAGTGTCTGATGAAATATTTCTTTGCATTTTACATATAATCTGATATATTTTCTTCTTTTGGGGGGGGGCAGTGGTGGGGATTGAACTCAGGGCCTCACATATGCTAAGCAAGCACTTCACCACTGAGCCATAGCCCTAGTCCCCTTAATCTGATATATTTTCTAATTAATACACATAGCCATCTGATGTTGAACTTTATTTTGACTTTAGGAAATTCTTTTTTTCTTTTACCCTTGCTTGCTTTCACAGATTTTAAATACAGGTTGAGTATCATTTATTTAAATGCTTGGAACCAGAAGTGTTTTAGATTTCAGAGTTTTTCAGACTTCAGGATATTTTCATAGATTTACTGGTTGAGCATTGTTAATCTGAAAATCTAAAATGTCAAATGTTTCAAAATCCAGAACTTTTTTTCCATATGTTTTATTGGTGTATTATAGTTGTAGATAATGGAGGGGTTTTATGCATTCATATGTGCACACAGTATAACAATAGAATTTGGCTAGTATCATTCTCCATGATTTTTCCTTTTCCTCCTCTTTTCTCTCTTCCTGATCTCTTTCCTCTACTCTATTGTTCCTCCCTTTGGTTTTCATGAGACCCTTGCCCCTAATTTTCTTTTTTTTTTTCTTCTCTAGCTTTCACATATGAGAAAAAAAAAATATGACCCTTGATTTCTGAGTTTGGCTTATTTCACTTAACCTAATAATCTCAAGTTCCGTCCATTTTTCTGCAAATGACATAATTTCGTTTTTCTTTATGACAATAAAACTCCCATTGTGCATATATACTACATTTTCGTTATTCATCTATTGACAGATACCTAGGCGGTTTCATAGTTTGATTATTGTGAACTGTTCTGCATGGGTATATATTATCACTACAGTATGATGACTTTGATTCTTTAGGATAAATACCAAGGAGTGACATAGTTGGTCATATGGTAGTTCCATTTCTAGTCTTTTGAGGAACCTTCATACTGATTTCCATAGTGATTGTACTTACACTCCAACCAACTGTATAAAAGTGTTTCTTTTTCTCCACATCCTATTGAGCATATATTATTGTTTGTATTCTTGATGACTGCCATTCTAATCGGAGTGAGATAAAATCTTAATGTATTTTTATTTGCTTTTCCCAGTTGCTAAAGATGTTGATTTTTTCATGTATTTGTGGCCATTTGAATTTTTTTTGATCAATGTCTGTTTTATTTGCCCATTTATTAATTAGATAATTTGTGGTTTTGATGTTAGGTTCTACTGAGTTCTTCATCTATTTTGAATATTAGTCCTCAGAAGAGTAGCTAGCAAAGACAAAATTTGAAACTTTTTTGAGTGTCATCTCAGTGTTTAAAAAATTTCATATTTGGGAGCATTTCAGATTTTGCATTTCATATTAGAGATACTCAACCTGTATTCAAAATATAGTTGTATTAAATGTTAAATTAGCTTTGGTTTTAAAGTTTGAGTAGAAAAATAGAATGAAGTACCTAGAGCACTTGGTTGCTGATCCCTGAATTCTTCATATGGATTAGAGGCAAAGGACTCAGATAATATGGGTGGTATTCCTGGGTTTGCTTACTTTCTTGTTTGTTTGTTTTTTTAATAATTTTTTTTAGTTGTTGATAGACCTTTATTTTATTTATTTTTTTATGTTGTGCTGAGTATCGAACCCAGTGCCTCACACATGACAGACAAGCACTCTACCACTGAGCCACAACCCCAGCCCTGGGCTTACTTTCTTAGTTGGACATTATAGTACACAGCTTTCAGTTGAATGTTAAATAAAATATAATAATCAAACATTTAAAAATATATCCTTTGTAACACTCAAACCTTGTCTATCGCCATACTTCCTAATTCTGTTAATGACAAAAGTTATTGTTCCAGTCACCATCTTAAAATCTCAGCATTATTTTTTTAAATGTTTACTTTAATAATTCCTGACCCATAGAGTAGCTTCTGCTATAGAGATAGTTTTTTCAAATGTCATTCCTTACTACTACATCTCTAGGCCCTCGGTCCTTGTGGTGGTGGTGGTGTCTTTCCTACCTCTCTCCACTTGAACTATTAAATGCCTCACTGCTAGAGCTACTCACTCCCTAACTAAGAAAGATGATTGCTCCTTTTGCTTAACAAATAAGGCTGACCCCCTTAGCTTCCTACTAATTCTTAGCAGTTTCTGGTACTATTTTTTAAGGTTTTGAAGAAAGATTGAAAAAATTGCATGTAGATAATTCATTTTTTTAGTTTAATTTTTGAAAGTTCATTGGACTTTCCTCCCTATGGAGAGTCACCTTCACCCCCAGGCTAAGAACCTCTGCCTAAAAAGCTAGATGTTCTAGAAGGGTCATAACTAGGCTAAAGATGCACATCTGTCCTTTACTTTTCTCTGTTTCACCCCACATTCCAGCAAAATTAGGCTGCTTGTACTTGACCTCCGCTGTTACTCCTTTCTTCCAGTAGTATCTTCCCTTTCCATTTTCAGATATCTAAATTCTTTGAGACTCAACTGCTTCCTGTCCCTTATTGTCTTTTCTGATTCAGTGAAGGATACGAATAAAACTCTTGTAGTGCATATGGCGTAAATATTTTCTGTTTCTTTGATCTCTCAAAATTGGATGACTTTTTCCTAATCTGAAGACTTATTTTTTAACATCGCATTTTAATGCTTATGAATTTACTTTTGTTCAGCTTATACAAATAATAAGATCCCTTAAGCCAAAAATGTTTTTTACTCATCTGATTGTTCTCCATATAAGTCATGCACAAGATATGTACTTAATAAATCCTTTTTAATTATAAATCGAACAAAGGTTTTGGTCTTGTAGGATAACTTTTCCAGTAAGAAGTGGAAAGGGGAAGAAAAGGAAAGATGCAGATGAAGATGAAGACACTGAAGAGGCAAAAACCTTAATTGTTGAACCTCATGTTATTCCTAATAGGGGACCTTATCCTTATAACCAACCCAAACGGTAATTTTACTACTTATTCTAAGTATTGTAAATTCGCTGTTTCAGTTGGGTTACTGTTTTTATTTTAACTTAATTCATTCATTCTTTCATTCATTCAGTTTTCGCATTACTGGGGATTAAGGCCAGAGATGTTCTACCACTGCACTAACTTCCAAGCCCTTTTTATTTTTTTTTTACTTTGAGACAGGATCTCACTAAATTGCCAACATTGGCCCCAAACTTTCAATCCTCCTGCCTCAGTCTCCTGAGTTGCTGGGCTCACAGGCAGGCAACACTAGACTGGGCTTTCTTATACTTTTAAAACCTTAAGATACTTTAGTTTCTGGACCCTCTTTCCTTTTATTTTGTTAACCAACTGAATAGCTCAGACATTTTAGGCTACTCTGTAATAATATTTCAGAAAGGAACATGTTCAGGTACTCTGAGAATGAAATGCTACTACACAGGGTTACCTTAATTTGAGTATAGAGTTCTTATTTTATGACTCTGTGTTACTTAGAGCAGTAGCCCTAGTGCAAGTGTCCCGTAACTAAAAAAGTGGCATAATATTAGGGAACAGCAACTTTTGCAGGACAAAACAGATCTGAAATGGACTAAATGTATCAAAAAGTAATTGCACACCTGTAATCCCTACAGAGAGGGAGGCTGAGACAGGAGGATCAAGAGTTCAAAGCCAGCCTCAGCAATGGCGAGGCGCTAAGCAACTCAGTGAGACCCTGACTCTAAATAAAATACAAAATAGAGCTGGTGATATGGCTTAGTGGTCAAGTGAGTGCCCCCGAGTTTAATCCTAGGTACCCCCTCAAAAAATTTTATTCTTTTACTTGGAGGTGGACTATGAAAATGTAAAGAGATTGACAGAACAAAGGAAATACAGAATAGACTTTTGGTCCTTGTTTTTCCAAATGTATACTAAATATCATCTACCTCTATTTCTAACCAACTTTTTATTGACCCTTTTATTTACAGTAATACTATTCAGTTCACTCATACACAGATAGAGGCTATCCGTGCTGGAATGCAGCCTGGGCTCACTATGGTAAGAGAATTACTATTACATATGTTGTTATCTGAATTTAGACCAGGTTTTTTTTGTGAGCACAAATTTTTAATGTATTCTTCATGTGGTTTCAAGGTTTTTTTTGTTTTTTGTTTTTTTTTGTAATTGGATACAACATCTTTATTTCACTTATTTTTGTATGTGGTGCTGAGGATGGAACCCAGGGTCTCGAATGTAGGGGGCGAGCACTCTACCTCTGAGCCACAACCCCAACCCCAACCCCAGCCCCAAGTGTTTTGTTTTTACTTTTTTAATTACTAAGATTCGTCTCTGGCCTAGGATATGATCTGTCTTGGTGACTATTCCTATGTACTTGAAATGAATGTATATTAAGTTCTTTTCTATCCTTACTGATTCTTTGTCTATTGAAACAGTAATTTCTGTTGATTACTGGGAGAAGAATATTGACATCTTCAACTATAATTGTGAATCTGTTTCTCCTTTCATTTCTGTTAATTTTTGCCTAATGTATTTTGAAGCTTTGTAGATGGGAACATACCTCAAGGCTGTTATGTCATCTTGGTAAATTGACCCTTGTATTATTATGTAATGTCTCTATCACTGGCAATTATCTTTGCTCTAAAGTCCACTTTGTCTGGTGATAATATGATCATGCATCTTTCTTTTGATTAGTGTTCATGTGATATTTCTTTTTCATCACTTATAAACCGCCTATTTTTTGTTTTCAGGTTTATTGACTCTTCAACTCTGCCCTATTATGATATTGAATCCATCCAATGAATTTTTAATTTGTTATTTAATCATTCAGTTCTAGTGTATGGTAATGTGATAATTTAGTATTTGATATATATATATTATGTATTCATCTTCTTCCCTTCTCCAAGGTTGTGGGCCCACCTGGTACAGGAAAAACAGATGTGGCAGTACAGATCATATCCAACATCTACCACAATTTCCCAGAGCAGAGAACTCTAATTGTTACTCATTCCAATCAGGTAAGTATGTGCAAGTGTATGTGTGTGCGCATTTGTATGTATGCATATGCACACTACTGCTTTTACTTCTTTGATTGAATTTATTTATCTCTTCAGTTTCTAACCCTTACCAGTAGCATTTTTCTTCAATTGGAAGAATGGGTATTTCTAAAAGATTAAGATCTACAATATATTTTTTTCTTAATTGTAGGTGAACACAATACCTTTATTTTATTTATTTATTTTTATGTGGTGCTAAGGATCAAACCCAGTGACTCACACATGCCAGACAAGCACTCTACCCCTGAGCCACAATCCCAGCCCAAGGCCTACAATATATTAATGCTAAATTGAATTTAAAATCTTTGTGAAGTGTACATGTTAATATCCTTATTACATTGAAGCCGTGTGTGTGCTCCTGGTCCTTCTGAAGCAGTCAGAAATGAGTAAGAACAAATTATACTTATTAACTCTGGAGCAAAATATAGATAGGCAATTCTGAGAATATTCTAAAATATACTGATTTTACATGGTCCTCTAATCCTTCAGAAATACTTAGTGGTGACTTCATTTGGCCCATCTTCAGAAGATTTGATCTACAAAGAAGTTCAAAGTTTGGGGAATGTCAATCTATTCATTTAATCTACAATTTGATTTATTTATTTTTAGCAATGCTCTCCAGTTCATTCACCCATGTTTTTATATGTAGTGTTTTCAAAGTCTATGAGTATTGTTGGCTTGTTGTACAGTATGGTGAATTTATGCAGGGGAGTTGTCTTGGGGAATTGATTTGGACTACATCTTGATAAAGGAAACAGAAAAATTATGGAAAGTACTTTCTTCCACTTAATAAAATATAGTCTGTTATAATTATACTTACCTGAATTCTTAGAATGAACAAATAATAAGTCATAAGTTTTTAGCATAGTATTTTTTACTATTTTGCCCTACCTTGATATGACTTTCTACAATGTCCTTTATTTATGATTGACATATAGCACAATCATAGAGAAGGTTAATTTGCAAAAATACCCAAAGAATTCATTGTTTTCTAAGGGCCTCTATTGATTATTTTTCCTTGAATTAATTTTTTTTTTTTGGTTAAGTCTTCATTTGCATGTGTATTTCAAGTAGTTTCTTCAATATCCTTCTGATTCACAATGGAATAGTTTTTCTGAGATCATAATTTTTTTTTTTTTCACTCTAAATCTATGTGATTCCAGACTAAGGGAAGCAAGTAATGCCATCTATTCTGATGTTTTCTGTGGTCCTCAGTTTTGAATAGTTGAGTATCAAAAGTTAGGGTAGTGGGAAATTTTTCTGAAAATTTGCTTATCTCTTCAGTTTCTGAACTCACTGGAATATTGATAGTAAAGGATATCTGTATTTAAATTATGGAACTTGGATGTTTACGAGATTAGATGTTGACTTGATGGGGTAGGGTTGGAGTTGGATTTGTGATAAAGGAGAGATGTTCGAATGGGGCCAATTTTTAAATGATGTCTTTATTAGTGTATTTTTCTAGTCTGTGAAACTTTTGCCTTTCTGCAAAACTTTATAACTACAGAGGTTTAGATAATGAATATTAGGATTTGAAGAACTTCTAAATATGAATATTTCACAGGTAGAAAGAAGTGACTTCCAAATGGCTTTCATCAGAATAGTTTATGATAAATGAGCACTCTGCTTATTGTAAAGAGAAATTAAGACTTTCAGCTTAAGATTTGAATGATACATTTTACATTTCTCTATTGTAGTCTACCTATACACACTGCCTTCTCACTGTCCTTTTCCAGCTGTGAAAACTTTTTTGGTTCTCTGCAGCCTTGTAAATGCTGTGAGTGAAATGAAACTCAGTATGGTGAATTATTTTAGGACTTATTACAACTTGGAGGAAATAGCACTACTGAACCAATCCTTTCTCTTTTCAGAAATTAGAAGCTCAGTTTTCATGGGTGGATGGTTTTTATTGTTTCCAGTTATTCATTTGGCCAAGTGTACATATATGGCAATATCAGAAATCAATAAAAGTATTATTTTGTTTTAATTATAAATGGCCTAGTATAAGACCTTTTTCCTTCTGTTCAGATTGTGATCCTTATAATACTCTGTCATTCTAAATGTTAGTTTCTGTTATTTTTAAAGATATCTACTGAGTCTTTGAAACTGACCATCATCGTTTTTGCTTTATTCTCTAGGCCCTGAACCAGTTGTTTGAGAAAATCATGGCGTTAGACATTGATGAGCGCCACCTGCTACGTCTTGGTCATGGAGAAGAAGAGCTGGAGACAGAGAAAGATTTCAGCAGGTAAGCAAAAGGTGGTGAATTTTGAAACACTGTACCAAAGAATATTTAACTTTTTCTCCTCCTTTATTAAAGTCACACCAAGAGCAAAGAGCCACGAATGATCAAATGTAATTCTGAAATTTTTAGTATAACCCACTTAGACTATATATTGTTTATGCCATGTTTTCAGGTATACAGTGATTTCTGTGAAGAGGATTATCATGTTTATCTTTATAAAATTGTGAATTGCCATTTGTTTTCTATTTAGTGAAGTAATTTTTAATGTTGCCAGTTTAAAACTGTTCAACTCTAGATGATTCTTTTTTCATATTTCATCTTGACATTTAATTTACATTTTTTTAGGTACCAATTAAGAGGTTGATTTTTTTAGAGAAATGTAAATTAATAGTTTAGTGATAGTGTAAGTTTGGGGGCTTATTGCCAGTTTAGTTGTACTTAATGATTAATATTATATACTATAAGTTGACTAAAATTTTTCAGATTAAATTTCTACATGTTTTTCTTCATTTTCATTTTTTTTCTTCAAAGTTGTAACTCATTTATATGTTATTATTTATGACTCATACTTAAATTTATGTTTAAAGCACAATTTCAGATAATAATAGCTGAACATATTTAATATGTTGGCTATTGATCATACACATTAAAAGAGTACTATATTAATGCTTCATGTCTATTCTGAGTTCTTAATATTACAGAGATCACCAAATATTTAGCTCATAAAAAGTCAGTGTGTAACACAGTACAATATGCCATAAATCATCAGCTCTATTGCTGATATTTCCTGAAGTTTTCCATAGTATTTTCTCATGTTAAAGCTAACTTAAGAAAATGATTAGACTTTAAGATCTAATAATTGAGTTCAGTGAACATGAAGAAGCACAAGTTAAGCTCTGTGTCTTATTAGCATGTGTGTGCTTATACATTTGAGCATATTTTCTCTTTGTCATAATTAAAAAGAAAAATGATCGTTCTACAAAAAAAAGTAATATCACTTTTTCTAAAGAAAAAATATTTAAAACCTGGTAATGTTGTATAGGGGCAGTTACCTTTCATAATTATATTCTCTTAAAATAACTTTCTGTTAATCTTTTCTTAATAATCAGGCTATTTGAAGTTTTGTATTTTTCTTTTTTAAAAAACAATTTGTAGTCTCTTTTTTAAGTATACTTATAGAATAATTGTGCAGATAGTACAAAGAGTTTCACTGTATATTGGGTGTTTTTTTTTTTTTTTTTTTTGGCACTGGTGATTAAACCCAGGGGCACTCAACTACTGAGCCACATCCCCATCCCTATTTTGTATTTTATTTAGAGACAGGGTCTCACTGAGTTGCTTATTACCCTGCTTTTGCTGGGCTGGCTTTGAACTCTGATCCTCCTGTCNTAGACCTTTATTTTATTTATTTGTTTTTTTTCTGGTGCTGAAGATGGAACCTAGTGCCTCACTCATGCTAGGCAAGCACTCTACCTCTGAGCCACCCCCCCCCCCCCCCCCCCCGAGCAGCTGGGATTGCAGGCATGTGCCACCTCGCCCGGCTGTGTTTTGCTTTTTTTAAGTTTAATGTTGTGTCACAAGAATTAGGATTTTATTATTAGGTCTAAATACTCCTAATTTTTTTCTCATTACCAAAGTGTTTATTTTAGAAAAAAATTTAAACTATAGATAAGCAAACAGAAAAAGTTGCCTCTCACGATGTTTCTATCCTTCTAAGTGGAAAAATTCTTCAACTCATAGACCGTGTCTTATATCTTTTTTCTGCTCTTCATCATTCCTGGCTGCCTCAAAGATGAATTTCTGAATTATGGAGCATCTAGGAATATGACTTCTTCCTTTGCCTGTTCTTTAAATATGTGAATAACAATGATTAGACTGTTTCAGTCTTGTTTTAAGCATTGAAGAGTTAACGGGAGATACTTTGTCATTATGGAAAGAGTATATATCAACTTTGAGGTCTAATTTTGGTTCCACTACTTTGTTTCTTAACTCTCTTTGGACAGAATACTCCCCAAACATCTATATTCTTATTAATTCAGCAAATATTTAGGAAGCTGATAGGTTTGGGTGCCAAGCTATATGTTAGGATATGTAGATGATCAAATATATTTTCTAATTACTTCTTAAAGCTTTTGGAAGTAATCTAATCTCCCAACATGATAATGCAAAACAGTGCCATTCAAAGTTATTTATCTGTAAACTGTTAGTGGTCTAGCACCAGAATGCTCTGTACTCCCTTCCTTGTTGAAATTTTATTTGGGGCAGGGGAGAGATAGCTGAACTAATTGATTTACCCTCCACACAAATCCAAATCACACTGGACCTAGGTATACTTTACTTGGTATGAGGTAATCTACCACCTAAATAACTACCACCTAAATACAAATTGTTTTCTACTGTTTTTTCTCTTTGTCTGTTTATAGTTCTATTATTATTTTCTTTAATTTCTTGGACAGTTTCCTTCCAAGTCTCTTCATTATAGAGTTTTGTCTTTTTACCTAATTGAAATTTTTAGGTATGGAAGAGTTAATTATGTCTTGGCTCGAAGAATAGAACTTTTAGAAGAAGTCAAACGGCTACAGAAGAGTCTGGGCGTTCCAGGAGATGCCTCATATACCTGTGAAACCGCAGGTTATTTCTTCTTATATCAGGTAATATGTTAAAGGTTTTTAAATTATAATTAATTATAATATGGTCCCCAGTTGAAAATTGGAATGGATCCCTAATATTCTTCTTGAACGCTTATTTTGTTTTTCTTGAGTAGATTAAAATATGTGGTACTGCCAGAGCTATATTTATAAATGTTAAGTATTTGTATTTTTTATTATTTTCAGTTTTTCTTTGCTAAATAACTTTGGTTGATGACTCATTCAGTGGAAGGCCAGTGTTGGCAAGCTTTAAATTTTTTCTTTCTTGCCTTTACAAAGTTTCACGCCTCTCTCTCTCCTCCCTCCCTTTTCCCCCCTCTTATTACTATAGAAATCTAACTACATTTTCTAGCCTCCCAGTGGTAACAAAGTACAGTTCTATAATTTTATTATCTCATTAATCAACTAATGAAGGAAAACATATTTTTCTTTCAAATCTCCCAAAATAAATTATGTCATAGAACTAATTACACAATGGGACTGTAAATTAAAATTTCTGTTGACTTCAGTTTAATGGAATGCTATTACTTTTATCAAGGTTAATATTTTTTGAGTATAAAAACCAGTGAGAAATAGTCAAATAAGATAAATAAAAATAAATTTTATTAATTGGGTTGCTAATAATTCTAAATGTATTGATAATCTAATAATGAATATTTTATATGTAATTTATTTATTCTCTTTATACTAATACATTTTAGATACAAATCATAACATTGAAATATGAAAGAATGGGCACATGCTCATTCTGAGGAGATGGACAAGCCAGTTGATGCATTCAAAATGAGCAGATTTCATGGTTTCTTGAAAAGCAAGGAAAACATGCACTGTTTTGCAAAGAGGTTTACACTAGACTTAGACTGTTTAGAATTTTGAAGAATGGAAAAAAGATCATGCTTAAATGCCTATTTGATAGGGAAAAAATCACTTGTCTCTCAGTAAAAACTACTTTTAAAAATAGAAATAATGGGGGCTGGGGTTGTGGCTCAGTGATAGAGCGCTCGCCTAGCATGCATGAGGCACTAGGTTCGATCCTCAGCACCACATAAAAATAAAAAATAAAGATATTGTGTCCACCTAAAACTAAAAAATAAATATTTTTTTTTAAATAGAAATAATGTATAAATTTTGAAAAGGTGAACTTGAAGTTTCACAGTGTAGATCAACAGTTTGCAGCATAAAAGAATTATATCAGGATAGCTTTTCAGCTTTTCACAGGGTCAATTTCTAAGCCCTGTCCTAAAAGCATTCAATAGGGATGGGAATTGTGTTTTGGGGGTTTTTTTTTKKTTTTTTTTTTKKTTTTKTTTTTTTTTAGCTCCTCAGATATTCTGCATAAGGACTACACTTTGAGAAACACTAAAATTATAACAGAAAAAGACCTGGGAGAATTATAAAAATTGAAGTTAAGTAGAAACTGGCTGGTAGGTGCATAGCTGACATTGTACAAGGATGTAATTGAACTGTATCACATAAGTCATAAAGTGTGCTTTCAAATATATACTCAATCTGAAGTTCTTTATAAATGTTCTAAAGAGATTTGGGGAAAAAATATAAAGGTTTAAGAGAGAGTATACCTGCCCTCCGTTCTTCTCCTGTCCTCAAGTCCTGAAATGACTTTGAATTTCTTTCCAGTTTCTACATTTTTTATTAAAGATCCTTTTTATCTCCTCAAATTCTAAGGTTACTTTTTTTGAAAGAAGAGTAATCTATCAGTGAGTTGGAGGAGAAATAGTTATATTGGGCCAAAGACTGCATTTATTCCCTTTATCCTAGCAGATCTTATTTTTACTAGATTTATTTTTAGTTTTATCATTTAAAACATATTCCTTGCAAAATAAATCTCAAGTCCTTTTTCCTACAGGTAATGTCTCGTTGGGAAGAATATATCAGTAAAGTGAAAAATAAAGGTAGTACATTACCAGATGTTATGGAAATCTCCACTTTCTTCCCTTTCCATGAATATTTTGCAAATGCTCCTCAACCCATTTTTAAAGGCAGATCTTATGAAGAAGATATGGAAATTGCTGAAGGATGTTTCAGACATATTAAGAAAATCTTTACTCAGCTTGAGGTAAAGATTTTAATTTTCCTTTAAAGATTCTTAATTTTGTTAGTGTTTTGTTTAATGAAGTAAATGTGGAATATTCAGATGTTACAAGTCAGATTGTTACTTTTAAGTAAAATTATTAAAAACACATAATTTTGTTCAATAAATAAGCAAAAATTAAGATGAATCGTATCCTCATTATTCTGGTTTTTTTGGTATAAAGATATTAGTTCTTAAGAAAGAAATGCTTTCACCAATACCCCCACATCCCTCCACACCCCCACACCCCACCCCACCCCACCCCCATTTTGGTGTTGGAGATTGAACCCAGGGCCTCAACACGTTCAAGGCAAGCAGTTGAGCTACACCCTCAGCCCCAACAATAGTTCTTTGAGAATTTGAGACTACCACATGGCCATTCTTAGTTTCTCATACCTCTTGATCAATAGGCAAAAAGTGAGATTTCAGTGTTAGCTGGTATTAAAATGAAATAAGAATCATCAATACACAGAAGAAACAGAGAAGAGTACATCTAGAACCCAGGGTCCCCTGGAATGTCTTTCTATAGCAACATCATTGGAAAAAGACAGCAATTATATAAAATATGTTGGGCTGGGGATGTGGCTCAAGCGGTAGCATGTTCTCCTGGCATGTGCGGGGCGCTGGGTTCGATCCTCAGCACCACATAAAAATAAAATAAAGATACTGTGTCCACCGAAAACTAAAAAATAGATATTAAAAAACAATTCTCTCTCTCTTTAAAAAAAAATGTTAATAATTAAAATTTTAAACCTGCAAAGTGGTGTTTTATTTTATTTATGATTCAGTAAACACAAAGTCAAAGTGAAGAACATACTCAATTCATAACAGTAGCTGCCTTAAGAAGGAGTGGGAAGACTGGTACCTTACCTGTATCAGTAATGTTTAAATTATTAAAGAAATAAGGTAAAAATATTAAAACAGTTTGATAAAGTATGGGTAACTTGATATTGGGTACTCTGCCTGGGCCTGTTTGCTCTTCGCACCCTCTATTTCTGTCTTCAACCTCTACCATGGTTGAGGGTCAGGCTGATCTTTGTAGGTTTCATGTCCCAGCTGCCTATGTCAACTGACTTAAGACTGTTTAGCCACATCCTGAGAGATGGGGCAGGAGTTTAGAAAAGGGAGAAGCCAAGGTATTTTTTTCTTCAGTTACCTCTGCCTCCATGACTGCTGGATTGGCCCATTGTGGTGCCCACTTATTTTGTGACCCTAGTCGCTGAGCTCTGCTCACACCACTTTTTTACCTTTTATCCTCCCTAGGCTAGAAGTGGCGGGGACTTCTTGCTCTTCTCAGTCTCTGGGTTATTTTATTCCCTTGATGGCTTTTCAGCTCATTTGTCATCTGTATAATTAGTTTATTGCTTCAATTCCTTTCATTGTAAATACTTGAAGTAGTTTATTTGTAAGAGGAACCTTGAATAATGCAGGTACAATGATAATTGTTATTTTATTCAGTTTTCTTGTTTATATTGTAAATATTTTACTTTATGCATACACACACATAAATCAGTCCAGTTGTAGCTTGATTGTCAGCTATTATTTGAACTCAATTGGTACATAAATAATAAGAAACAGAATTATGATTCATTAGTCTTAGTTTATGAGATATTCATATTAATTTCTGAAGAATCGACTGATTGACTGGATTCTTTAGTTTTATGCATAGCCTGTTTGTTACCCTAAAGTAATCTTTCACTCATCCCCTCTCTTGTAGGAATTCAGAGCCTCTGAACTGCTCCGCAGTGGACTGGACAGATCTAAATACCTGTTAGTAAAGGAAGCCAAAATCATTGCTATGACCTGTACTCATGCTGCCTTAAAACGACATGACTTGGTAAAGTTAGGTTTCAAGGTAAAGATTTACATTTAGTTCCTTACTTCATCATCTACTCAATTGTTAGTTTTTTGGGTTTTTTTCCCTTGGATATTGGCTCATTTCTATGAAAGTTCTCATTTATAGTTTCTTTAAAATGTCTCTTTTAATGTGAATGATAATATCCCATGTTTATATGATTAGTGAACTTAAATCTAATTTTTCTAAGTCTGGTTTTTAGTATTTTGTCTACTAATTAGCGTAATCATATGGTTGCTTAACCAGATTCTCATACTTATTAAAAGTTTGTTTTATTTTTGTGGGGTTTTTTGTACTGGGGATTGAACACCCAGGGGCACTTAACCACTGGTGTATCCTCAGCCCTTTTTATGTTTTATTTAGAGCTAGGGCCTCACTAAGTTGTTTAGACTGGCTTTGAAATTGTGATCTTCCTAACTCAGTCTTCTAAGCTGCTGGGTTTACAGGCCTGTGCCACATTGCCTGGCAAGATTTTTTTATTTTTTATTTTTTTGAAATATTTATGTTTTATTATATTTATGTTTTTATTATTATTATTATATCCCATCTGATTCAAATGTATGATGTCAAGGTCATTGTACTGTCATGTGTAACTAATAAATAAAAAAAAAAAAAGAAAGAAATGGGTTTATGTTTTAGTTGTAGATGGACACAATACCTTTATTTTATTTGTTTTTATGTGGTACTGAGGATTGAACTCAGGGCCTCACACTTGCTAGGCAAGTGCTCTACTGTTGAGCCACAACCCCAACCCCAAGACCTTATTTTTGAAAAATCTCCAAACAGAACTAAAAGCTCTAAGTATAACATGTTATAGTGTTTGTTAGTTGCAACACATTTATATACTTACATTATTCAAATACTGAATATATATCTAATCCAGTTATTTGTTGATTCCATAAATAAAAAGCTTTCCATATGAGGATAGGGAATACTCTTATAATAGACTGTAAAATAAAATATTAAAAATTATTATGTGACAAAGACAAAAGGACAGCATGATAGCTTGTTAACCTGTGACTGAATTGAAGTACAGTGTAATGATGGAGCCAAAAATTTGAATTTGCAGACTCTTTATGACTTTGATAGTGATATTTACCTAAACTCCAATTTAATACAAATCATTTAACTTTCCTGCAATTTGTTTGTCTGTTGAAAATAGGTTTGTGTACTGGTTTGAACCAAAGTTAGTCGTTCATTTGTTTATGAAAGGGACGATTTTAAGATATATGATCTCATTGAAAGATAGTGCTAAATAAATTCAAGGTGATAGAATTGTTGTTATCTGGAGGAGAGGTTCTTCAGTGCAAGGTAGGACAAATATGACAATTTATTAAAAAGTAGTGTGGACTTACCCCAGGGGTGTGAAGTTACCCTTTTGCAAGTTATTAGTGAGAAGTTTTCACCTGAATATTTTGTTCTTGAGACTGACATATAAAACGTAATTTGAATTTGACATTAAATTATATTAGTTAAATAACAAGGAGAAATTATGCAACCATAACTAGCATTTTATTCTTTGATGCAGTTTTTCACAAATTTCCAAATTTGTGAAATCAAATTTTCATTAATTCTGTTATATATCTAAAAATGTTTAGCATGAGTGATGATAGATTTTTAAAAATATTTTTAATACTGGATATATTTTTTCAAACTTCAGAGTTTAAAAACCTTTGTAGATCTGTTTAACATAAAATAGGCAGCCCTCTACTCCCTTGCRTTGGCCATAAGGCTTTTTTTTTTCCCCTGACACAATGTGAAAGATTTGAAACCAGAAGGGGATATGATCCTGTGACTGTTTGTTAGTGGCTTAAGGGAAGCAAGACAAGAAGGGAAAGGACAAATGTGTTGGCCTGGACTATAATGGTAGTTTTGGTAGAAATAGAGGAAAGTAAAATAGATTTTAGAGGCAGTTTTGAAGGTAAAATTGACACACTTTGGTGATGGATGGAATGCCTAGGTTTGAAACAGAAATGGATTGTTATGATCAGTGTAGGATTCATAAGGGGAAAAAAATTACCCCAAAATACTATCTAGGGTAAGAATACCAATAGGAATGACATCATATATACTATAAATCAATTCTTGGATTATGTAGAATGTGAAGAACTAAACTGAACTAAATAGATACTGCAATCCAGGAAGTGATGTGCAAGATCTCCTCAATGTAAATATATTTGGGAGGAGGGCGTCTTTCCTGAGGTTAGAGATGTGATCTGAAATTCTTATGTTTTTGGTGATTGCTGTGGTTATGGTGGTAGTTGTTTGGCTTTTGAGCTATTTTTTCAACAAATTTTTCTTTTCCTTTTTTAGTATGACAACATTTTAATGGAAGAGGCTGCTCAAATTCTGGAGATAGAAACTTTTATACCTCTTCTCCTACAGGTAAGAAATTAAGAATTCTTGGGGACAACATCTAAAAGCTGTATAGTTTAGAAGTACTCGTTTTCACAATTTTCTATTCTCTTTAACTTCATTTTGTTTGCCATTCTATTTTAAGTTTGCAAGTTTCCTTTAATCTATTTATAGGCCATTTAGTAATTTGTTTTGCTTTTGGGAATACTATTCTAAAAATTCATGGTTTATATCTACATAGTAGCTTTGAAAAGACAGTAATTTTAATTAAGGAACTGTTGTTATGCATTTTGAGGGGAAGATGAGTTATATTTTTCATATCTTTTGTTGGAGTTTTTCTGTCTGGAATTGTTTCTGATGTTTACTGAGTACATTGGTTTATTTTATGGCTGTGTTTTTGAGGTAAATGGTGGTATATCAAGAATTTTCTTACTGTACAATATTATTTACTATTGAAGCATTAAAAACAATGTGGAATTCTCTGGGTAGTTTAGAGTAGTTATATTTTTAATTGAGTTACAAAATTTTTTATAAGCCAAGCTATCTGGAGCTTGGAATGTGTTTTATTCAACAGTGTATGTTTCAAGGAATAAGGAAGCATGTAAGGTAGGAAATTATAGTAGTAGTGGAAGAAATTAGACAAGGTACAGTTTTTATCATATTAAGTTCAAAGCAGGTCCTTTGCACAATTGTAAAACAAGGTGTTTACTTTGACATTTATCCATTTCTCCTCGGGGCTTCTCTTTTTTTTCTTCCAAAAGTTGACCTAAGCCTTGAAGACTTTTTTAGATTACCATAACTGTTAAGGTAGGGTAATTCCATTGCTTCCTCAATTCTTCCACCTCCCTTTGCCCACTGTCAGCCAAGAGCAATGGCACCCATACCTGATTCGTATGTTATTCTACAAATTTGCCAGACTTTTCTCTGTGTGGATCTATCTAGTACAGGTCAATAATTTAAGTTAATAATGCCATTTGATGAAGAAAAGTCTTTTGCACGATAATTTGGAGACTAGCTAATGCACTAAAGTGTAGTATTTTACTATTTTTCTACCTTTAATTTCTAGAATCCTCAGGATGGGTTTAGCCGACTGAAACGATGGATCATGATTGGTGATCATCACCAGTTACCTCCAGTAATTAAGAACATGGCCTTTCAGAAGTATTCAAACATGGAGCAGTCTCTGTTTACTCGCTTTGTCCGTGTTGGTGTTCCTACTGTGGACCTCGATGCTCAAGGGAGAGCCAGAGCAAGGTAAAGGTGACAGAGAGAAAAAACATTTCTCTGCAAGACATCAGCTCCATTATCCAAGTATTTGTAAACATGTCTTATAAAAGATTTTAGCTTTCCTATTATCCAGGAACTTGCCAATTGCAAATGTGAAAGCGCCTTTGTTGCCTTTTCCACAAAAGCTGTGAATTGACCAAATAAGTTATTGTCTTCATTATATTGAGATTAACTTAAGTGTCTTATAATCTAAAGACTTCACTTGTTCCTTTCCCCTTTTTCATGTCCCCCAGAGATAGAGTTAGTATAATTTTGAAACCTAAAGCAAAAGTATACAAGAGTAGAATACAATTCTCACTTCGTAGAGTACCAGCCCCATCTTATAGTTATTTACTTCCAATGTACTCAGTTTACAGGTTCTTCCCTGATTTTTTAATTGATGGCATAACAATAGCAGTTACCTCAGAGAGTGCAATAGAGCTACCATTTTTGTAATGTTTTCAGTCTCTTGACTGTTAGTTACTTGAAGAGACTAAGGATGAAAAGCAATTATTGCTAAAAAGATGAGAAAAAAATGGGTAACATGAAAATTAAAGCACAGCTCCTTATAAACCTCCTATGTGTATTAGAAGGGATTTCATGTTGCTAATCTTTCTTGTTTGGGGTGGGGGGATTTCTCTTTGAAAAGCTTGTGCAACCTCTACAACTGGCGATACAAGAATCTAGGAAACTTACCCCATGTGCAGCTCTTGCCAGAGTTCAGCACAGCAAATGCTGGCTTACTGTATGACTTCCAGCTCATTAATGTTGAAGATTTTCAGGGAGTAGGAGAATCAGAACCTAATCCTTACTTTTATCAGGTAAGAAAAGATGTAACACTTTAAAAAAAAAAAAAAAAAATATATATATATATATATATATATATATTATTTATTAGTTGTAGTTGGACACAATACCTCTATTTTATTTACTTATATTTATGTGGTGCTAAGTATCAAACCCAGGGCCTTGGGCATGCTAGGTGAGCGCTCTACCACTGAGCCACAACCCCAGCCCAAGATGTGACACTTTTAAGTTCATTTTGCATTTGCCTGGTTGAAATACTACCTAATTGAGTGATGCTGAACCATTTGACTAGCTTCTGACAAAAGGAAAGTTTAGAGCCCTACCTTATAACACAAAAGCCATTCATTTTCAGATGAATTAAAGGCACATCCAACATACTAAAAACTACTAAAAGTTAATATATAATATAAGAAAGAGCTTTCTAAGCTTCTTAACCAAAGCAAAAATTACAAAAGAAAAATATTGATTGATTTAAGAGAAAATTTAACATTTGCAAATAATAGGTTGAATTCTGCATATGTATAACTTGGTCAATTTTTAAAAATTAATCCCCTACCAGAAAAATACAATGATAAGAATATTCATATCACAAAAAGTTAATAGGTTTATAACAATTATCATTCACTGGATCAGGCAATACTCAGTGTTGAAGTTGTTTTGGGGGAATTCTCAAACAATGCTAGTAGGAAAACAATTTGTAAACAGATGTTAGATTCTCACTTATAGAAATTTATCCTAAGCAAATATTTGAACATCTTTGCAAAGATTTATATACTAAAATATTCATCACTGCTAAGTATTTTGGAAGTGAGAAACAGTTCAAATATCTACTAGTACGGATTAAATTATTACATATCCATTAGAAATACTGAATAGCCACTAAAATAATAACATTATAAATTTGTTTATTGACAGGAAAAATATTTATAATTAAAAATGTAAGTTGCTAAGCATATCTGTAGTGTCTCACTTGATTTATAAAATGAAACAGCAAAATATATATAGAAATATGTACAGATAACCTATACAAAAAAGATCTGACAGCATATGCACCAAAAAATAACAATCCCTGAGGGGTTATTTTAAATTTTTCTTTTTGCTTTTTCCTAACAGCAATATATTCATTATGTATTACTATATAAATTAGATACCTTGAGTTATATATGAAAAAGCATCATGTATTATTGACTTAAATGTGTATATATCTGTATATATACATATATAGATAGATACATACATACATACATACATAAAAAATATGGATGTAACTCATGAAAATTCTTTTATCCCACCAAATATTTGCTTGTATTAAATTAGGTTACTATATGTGTATATTTATAGCCTGGGAACACATGTGACCTTTAAGTGATAACTTTAAAAAATACTAGAACCTAAGTAAAATTGGTAATATGTTTCATAATTAGCCACCTTTGGGGATGATTAAGGATTCTGTCAATATTCTAATTGATGTTTTTATTATGTAATGGTTTTGGGAATTTTCCATTGAGTCAGTTTTGTTACCTAAGCTACACTGTAGTATTGACCTGGAACATTATCATCCTGTTTGGTTCTCTGTTTGGTTCTCTTATTGATTAGTTCTAATTCTGGATGAGTTTTCAGTATTTCAAGAAATAAATGTATTTTAAAATGATGATGTATATTTTACTTTTAAATATATTTCTGAACAGTTGAAAACATTATCCCCCCCCAAATAAGAAGACTTTGCATTTAAGCAATATATTTGAAATAGTTGTATCTAAAAGGGAAAGGATGGACAAATGAATAAAAGTTACTAATTTGAAGGGGTCTTAATATATTTTTTCCAAGTCCTAAAGTGTTTGTTAAAATATAATTCAAATTGTTTTATTGTTAATACTTTATGTCTGATCTTTGGGCAGGGTACCAAGTTGAGCAGTGCTTATTTTTTGCATGAATAAAGAAATGAACTCTTTTTATTGAGAACTCTCCACATGTATCTTGCCAAAGATACTCAAATCCTGTAGACTGAATTTTAGCCCAAACTTTTACTATGGTCATTTCCACGATTACCAATTTGTTCCTGTGTCTATGTTAGAACCGATACTTAGATAAATGTATTTTGCTACCAGTATGGAAAATGGAAAGATTTTATACTGTGTCATGTGGCTGCTTTTCTCTCCCATCTACCAAAAGACTAGAAAATTTAAATGAAAGAGATAACTCAGGCTGTGTGTCACCAAGAACCAGAATATAAATGATATTCTGAAGGTCTTCCAGTAATTTTCCCATTGCCTTTGCCTAAAATCCATCTTCTTTGTTTCTTAATGTTCATGTTGTGTTCTCATTTTGCTTTCTTCTTTCTTCTAGTACTTTGAATTTAGTAAACTGGACTAAATAGCTTTGTGTATGATTCTTCACCTTGAAGTTAGACTGGATTTGTACTAGATTCCTGGATAAGTTACTTTGTTCCTTTATATTAAAATTTCTTTTTATAGCTACAATTTCAGTATATTGTATAACAGTGTGATTGTTGTGGTTCCAAGAATATCAGGCCTTCAAGTTGGTGACTTTTGTATTATGACTATGCCATGTATTATACATATGTTCCAAATATCAAAATTTTTATCAGTATTAACCTAGAATAAAATTACCCCTCAATTTTACCAAAGTGTTCACTTGTCTAGGTTATTTGCTTCACTTTTCTTGAGGCTACTAGATAAGCCATTTTCTCTATAAAATTGAAACAAAAAGAAATAAATGGACAATCTGATTATGTTTGCATTACAGAATCTTGGAGAGGCAGAATATGTAGTAGCACTTTTTATGTATATGTGCTTACTTGGTTATCCTGCGGACAGGATCAGTATTCTAACAACTTATAATGGCCAAAAGCATCTTATTCGTGACATCATCAATAGACGATGTGGGAATAATCCATTGATTGGAAGGCCAAATAAGGTAATTTTATGACTATAGTATGTTCTGTTATTCATCATTTTGGCAAGATGGAGTGGCTTATATTTATTATGAGTTACTTATACTGCTCCACCTTGCCTCTTAGCTGTCTTCTATTAAGATATGTGAGAAAATGAAATAATAGGAATTATAAATAATTCTGTAGCAATTCTGACAGTTTTACTGCTTTGCTGTGAACTTATATCTCAACTACTAGATTGAGATTTTTGTTGATATTAATCAGAGATGTTTCTAAAATATTTAATTGGTAAAATGGTAGATAACAAAATTTCATTGTAATTTAGGTACTATTACAGAAATATGAACTGAAGCATTTTTTTGTCTTGCAATGAGATAATTTCAGCAGCTTCTTAGTGTGTACATAGGGGGCTAAGGGTTGTCTTGGAGGATAAAGGAAGTTTGTAAAGTACATTCAAACCTAAGGATTTTTTACAAATTTTTAATGTAATGAAAAATGATAAACAATATCAAAAGTAAATATGATTGATTTTATTAATGAAGGGTTGAATAAATTAGAATAATAAAATATAAATGTAACATTACTGATTATTGTGACTGTGGTAAGAAACATGGCTATGTAAAAGCTATTTAACTTTTTCTTGGAAATCACCCAAAATAACAGGAAAATGGGAGGAAGAGGGGGCAAATTTCATTTTTAGTGAGATTACATTTTTAGTGAGATTACACAGATCAGGTGGCTTGACTAAGATCAGGAAGAAAATATAGGAGGAAAAGAATTCTGTGGACTATTATTCAAGTGCCAGCAAAAACACATTCTGAAGATGAGAAGCATACTTTGAAGGATTAAGTCACACTCTTGCTTTTCAAATGCAGATGTGGGATTGGTTCAAAGAAACCTGCAGGTGAGCTATATTTACAGAATGTAGACTCTGCTGTAGCCAGGAAAAGAAGGCCTTTTTTTGTGAAAATTATCCATCCTTTAGAAAACAGCCCCTTGCTCACCCTTAGCTAATTTAAGAAACCCACATACTTATTCAGTGATGAATTGTGAGAGGAAGTAGCACAAGCTCAATTTATATAGGGAAAAAAACGAGTAAAGGAATATTAAAACCTAGACAAGATAGGCTGGGAGCAGTAGTGCACACCTGTATCCCAGCTACTTGGGAGGCTGAGCCAGTAGGCTCTCTTGAGGCAAGGCATTTGAGGCCAGCCTGGGTAACAGTGAGACCCTATCTGGAAAAAAAGGCATGAATTTTAAAGTACTTATTAAAGTAACCATCCCATAAAGAAAGGCTACAAAATAAAGAAATCCAATAATTCAGGAAGAAATTAAATGTGAGGTATAAGAAAATAAAACCAGAGTAATTAAAAACAAAATCAATAGCAATACAAAAGAATATACTACAGAGTACTCTAAAAGGAATATAGAGAGTGAAAAAGAAAAATTGATAACTTTGAAGTATAGAGAGTTTAGAAATACAAAGACCTGAGAAGATGGAAAGATCTCCCATGTTCTTGGATAGACAGAATTAATATTGTCAAAATTGTCAAAATGGCTTTACTACCAAAAGCGTTAACAGATTTAATGCAATTCCTATCAAAATCCCAATGACATTCTTCAGACAACTAGAAAAAGCAATTGTGAAGTTCATTTGGAAAAATAAGAGACCCAGAATAACCAAAACAATCCTTAGCAAGAAGAGTGAAGCGGGAGGCATCACAATATCAGATCTTGAACTACTACAGAGCTATAGTAACAAAAACGGCATGGTATTGGCACCAAAATAAGCATGTAGACCAATGGCACAGAATAGAAGACACAGAAACAAACCCACATAAATACAGTTATGTCTTACTAGACAAGGGTACAAAAAACAAACGTTGGAGAAAAGATAGGCTATTCAACAAATGATGCTGGGAAAACTGGAGATCCATATGTAGCAAAATGAAATTAAACCCATTTCATCCTGCACAAAACTCAAAGTGAATCAAAGACTTAGGCACTAGAACAGAGAGCTTGTGCCTAGTAGATGATAAAGTAGGCCCAAATCTTTATCATGTTGGCCTAGGATCTGACTTCCTTAACAAGATGCTTAAAGTGCAGAAGCAAAATCAATAATCAATAAATGGGATGGATTGAAACTGAAGAGCTTCTTCTCAGCAAAGAAAATAATCAACAACGTGAAGAGAGAGCCTATAGAATGGGAGAAAATCCTTACCACATACACCTAGATACAGCATTAATCTCCAGGATATATAAAGAACTCAAAAAACTTACTGCCAAAAAAACCAGATAACCCAATCAATAAATGGCTAAGGAACTGAACACACATTTCACAGAAGAAGAAATATAACCAATCAACAAATATATGAAAAAAATGTTCAATATCTCTAGCAATTAGAGAAATGCAAATCAAAACTACTCTAAGATTTCATCTCACTCCAGTCAGAATGACAATCATCAAGAATATAGGCAACAATAAGTGTTGGTGATGATGTAGGGAAAAAGGAACACTCAAAACATTGCTGGTGGGACTGCAAATTGGTACAGCCACCCTGGAAAACAGTATGAAGGTTCCTTAGAAAACTTAGAGAGGAACCACCATTTTTGACCCAGTTATTACCGCTCCTTGCCATAATACCCAAAGAACTTAAAATTAGCATATTAAAGAAACACAAGCCCATCAATGTCTATAGCAGCTCAGTTCACATTAGCTAAACTGTGGGACCAACTTAGATGCCCTTCAACAGATCAATAGATAAAGAAAATGTGGTATATATATACACAGTGGAATACTAAGCCTTAAAGAAGAATGAAATTATGTCATTTGCTGGTAAATTGATGGAGCTGGAGAATATTGTGCTAAGCAAAATAAGAATCAAGAAGATGGAAATAGGGTGGTTCTGGGGTTGGGCTGCAGGGTGGGTTCAGTGATGTTAATAAGGACCAAGGTTCATTTCATTCTTTTGCCCAACCAGTCTTAGTGTGTGAACCTAGCTCAGACAAGCTATCCACCTGGTCAGGAAAGCAACAGAATTTCCAAGTGTAAAACCACACATTATAACAGAGAACTTGTATCTAGACTATACATAAACTTCTATAAAAATCCTTAGACAACATAATACAAAAATGAGAAAATTATTTGAACAGATACTAGAAGACCTACAAGTAGCCAGTGAGACCTCCAAAATTCTTTACCATCATTAATTGTCAGAAATGTAAGTTAAAACACAATAATATACTACTACGCATCCAATAGAGTAGGTAAAATTAAAAAGAATGACAGTATAATAAGTGTTGACAAGAATGTGGAAAAATCTGGAACTCATGAACTGGAACATTGCTGTGAATATATATGTACAGTGGTGGTATAGCAATTTTGAAAAACAGTTTGACAGTTTCTTGTCAAGCTTAAGTATATACTTAACCATATTGCCCAGCAAGTTCACTCTTAGGTATTTATCCAAGAACAAGGAAACTATATGTCTACAAAAATATTTGCACTTGAATATTCAGTGCAGCTCTATTCAAAGTAGCATCAAAATTAATCAAATTATATACTTAAAATGAGCACATTTTCTTATATATAAGCTGTGAAGTTAAATTAAAAAGAAGTATTTCAGTAATTTCCTAAATGTAGAGGGATTATAAATTACAGTTTGTTAGAGGGTAAACAGAACATTTTTTTTTTWAATTGGGTAAAAAAGGACTAAGGGCCTAAATGTTAAACCTTTCTGAATTTCCCTATTTGTAGGTGTATTCTCAAACTGAACAGAAAGTATGATGAAGATTATTTGTTATTGTTATTCTTGTTTTCTTTCATGGAGGAATGCTGTGGACAAATACTAGGAATATATAGATTAATAAATAAGCATACTGTTACATTTCTGAGCATTAAACTTGACACTACCAGTTAATAAGGCAAACAGTGCCTGCTTTCATGAAGCTTGGCAGTCTAATAGGAGGAGACTCTTGAATTCTAAAAATAATTACTAGCAAAGATAAAGACAGGTGTCTTAAGTGTGAATAACTTAAGGATATAGAGTATTGGGGTTTCTGCAATCTGTTTAACAGTATTCATTAACTTGCTTTTACAATTCCAATCATGACTGTGTTTCTTTGGGGATTGATTAAGAGTAACGTGATTGTTTCTAGCACATTATTTAAATAATGTCTAGAGCCTTTTTATTGTGGTTTTGAAAATATACCATGTTTCTCATTATGTCTTCCTAGGTGACAACTGTTGATAGATTTCAAGGTCAACAGAATGATTACATTCTTCTTTCTCTTGTACGAACCAGGGCAGTGGGTCATCTGAGGTACGTAGGAAAAATTTTTAACGGCTTATTTAACTTTACTATTTCAATTTTGAATCTCAGTGGCAAAGTAGTTTCTAATTTTTACGTTTAAATATATATAGTTATAATTAATCATTATAGCAACTTCTGGTGCTTTTTGTTGGAATGTAACAGTATCAAATTCCTTGTATAGTTCACCATTGTTTTTGCTTACTAGATTTTTTACTCTTAAATGTTTTAGTATTTTAGCTTTTTTATTCTTTAATTACTTTCAAAAATAAAAATTTTATCAAAAAATCTTAATCTATGTCTGATAGAAATAGTATCAGAAATTATATCAGGTAAAGTCTCCTCAGAGGAAATTTTTCATCATGTAGGATTCTGATTTTCCTCCACATATGTACTCTTTCAGCTTCAGTGTTAAGGGATAAAAGAGCCACTTGTTCTCCTAGGATTGAGAATTGTCAAAACAAACAATAATCTATTTTTATCATTATTTGTGGCATATTTATGTGTTAGAGATTTATGGGAATAATATCTTTTTATTACAAAGCAGTCATTTAGTTTTATATAAACCTTCATCTTTTGTGACTTTATATAGCAAAATTATATGGAGAGTTTGTTATTTTACTTGGTAGATATAAAAACAAGTGCCCCCCCCCAACTCTTGTATGTTATCATTAAATCAAGATCTATTTGGAGCTTAACCTAGTTATGAAATTCCATTAGCCCAATAACTTTTATGTAAGAGTAAGCAAAAAATATATAACATTTTAAGAAACTGCTTGGAGATAGCATTTTTAAATAGTTTATTTTTGCTTATTTATTGAAGTGTCAAGCATGTATTTAAAGTCTTTGCTTTTCCAAAAGCCATTCCTTTCCTCACTGACATTTATAATTAATTAGCCATCATTATGGTTTACGTAATTAAGATCTCTCAAAACTTTATGGTATGAATTTATGAGTGCTGCTTCCTCTTCTCCCTCTTTTTCCTTACACTGTAGTACCATGCCTTTAGTTCTCTGCTGTTCTTTGCTTTATTTTTCTGAAAACTTTTTTAAAGGGTTTTTTTTTTTGATGATGAAACTTTTATTGTGCAAGTCAGCTTTCTATCATTGTGACAGAATACCTGAGGAAAACAACTTAAGGGAAGAAAGATTTTTGGCTCACAGTTTCACAAGTTTTAGTCTATAGTCACTTAGTTCTCTTGTCTGTGGGCCTGTGGTGAGACAGAGCTTTATGGGTAGAAAGGGCATAACAGAACAAAGCTGTTTAACTTTGTGTGGCCAAGAAGCAGGGAGTGAAAGAGAAAGGGGCTGGTGTCTCAGTATACCCTTCTTCTAAAGTTTTCATCACCTCCCAATGGTAAGTACCAAGCCTTCAACACAGCTTTTATATGGACATTCCAGATCTAAATTATAACATTATGAAATGAAGAGTTAAAACAGAACCTGATTTCAGTATTTTCTTGCATATCAATTTTCTAAGTAAAAATACCTTTATCCAAATAAATTAGTCTTTGTATTTGCCAAACTTATCTTTTGAAAATCCAACTTCTTCGTGAGGGTATCATTATGGTGATGGTGGTGTTAGAGTATAGATGTATCAACTATTTATGATTCCCATTACCCAGGTACCTTAGTCTAAATATCTTAACTAGACTTATCAAAACTCTATGTAGAACTTTTTGGTTTCTAGGGCTCATCCTTCATATCCTTTCTTTTATAAGTAGGAAAATATGTTTCAGGAGACTAAGGAAACCTACTTACTCTTTGGTGTATTTTATCTTTTAATAATAGCTTCATTGAGATAGAATTCATGTACCATAAAGTTCACCTATTTTATTTTAGTTCTTTTCATTTTTTGAGACAGGGTCGTACTAAGTCACTGAGAGTTTCAGTAAGTTTCCCATGTGGCCTCTAATGAGTGATCTTCATGTCTCAGGCTCCTGAGTCACTGGGATTATAGTGAAGCACCATGCCCAACCAGTTCACCTAGTTTAAGTGTATAATTTAACGGGTTTTTAGCTGCAGAATTATACAGCTATCTCCACAATCAATTTTAGAACGTTCTCATTGCCTAATCAAGAAGCCCTATAATTACTAGCATTCGCTCCCCTTGTGTTCCCTCAAAACCCTTGATAACCACTATTCCACATTCTATGGATTTGCCTGTTCTGAGTACTTAATACAAATGAAATCATACAATATGTGTTGTTGGTTTTTTTTTTGTGTGTGTGTGACTGGCTTCTTTCACTTAACATAATGTATTCAAGGTTTATTGATGTTGTAGGATGTATCAGTACTTCATTTCTTTTTATTGACCCATTCATCAGTTGATAGCTATTGGGTTGTGTCCACTTAGTGACTATTATCAATAATGCTGCTATGAACATCCTTATACAAGTTTTTATGTAAGATTTGTTTTCTCTTGGGTGTAAACATAGGAGTGGAATTATTGGGCCATTTGTAATCTCTATAACCTTGTAGGTAACTGGCCATTTCTAAAGCCAGATTTGGACTTTTATCTTTGCCAGAGTATCCATTTTCAAACTTGTTTTGAACTAAAGTACTGCCATATTCTTTTATCCACACCTTTTTTCATCAGCATAGACTAATCGTGTGAGTAGGAACCAGCTTGTTAGCTTCAGTTCCAGAGTCCTTTTTGAGGACATTGTGGAACTATTTAGAAGCCAGAATCATGGAACACTTCTGGTCCCTTTTCCATCATTCATTGTTCTCTTGCCCAGCTAATTTGTACAGTTTAGGTACCAGTGGACATGCTTGTGACCTGGTAGGAACAAAATAGTAATGCTAGAACTTTCTGTTATTTCTTGGGAGGAGTTCTTACAGAGTGCTGACTTTGTTGCTGAACAGTGTTCTTTTGCAGCCCTCTTCTGGGGACCAAGAAAGAAGGTGGTAATCCCCATTGCCCTGCTTTTAAGACAGAGCTCCAAGGAACCCTGCCCACTCATGCTTTTTGTCTTTTGTTTTTTTGCCTGGTAGTTTGTTATGTTCATAGTGTATCAATTACTTTCAGAACCACCCATTTTTTGCCAGTGTGCTAGCTTCTCAAAATATAATAGTATAGCATTCATGATCTCTGCCTTTATGGAGTTTAGAATCCATTAAAAATATCATGGGAAGATCCTACCCTTGAATCTGCAGATTTCAGTTCACCTGTTCATATATACAACAGGCGTGACACAAAAACCTCTTCACTGGAATACGACACCGAGGATTGGAGGGAAGAGTTCTCTCAGAGCAACTGGTGCAGTGGCCACTGTAATTGCACTGGTTCTTTGTGTTTACAGATAAAGCTTTCTGGATGTGAAGGGGAGAACTGAATATAATATAGTGATTGCCTTGGAAACAACAGTTTAAGTCACCTGCTTCCACCACTACTCCTTTTTTCCTATGACAATGATGTTGAAACCATAATTTCCTTTAAAATATTTTTGTGAGAGCTCATGCTAAATAGTTCTAGTGTTATACATCCAGTTAGGGATGTGGAAGTACCCACCTATAGCTTGATTCCTTGGGGCTCTCAGAAAATATGGAGAAAATAAAAAATTATTTTTATTTTTAATATAATAAATTATTATTATAAAACATTGTGGGAGGAGTTACTGAGGAAGTAAAATCTGACTTTGATGGAGCCTAAGAATTTGGTAGGCAAAAGAAGTATAAGGAGAGCTGGTTCAGATTGACTTAACAGCAATAATACAGTAAATTGGTCACTGATAATAGAGTTACTAGGAGCTTCTAAATCAATACATTGGATTTTTTTTTTTTTTTTTGGTGTGTGTGTGTGTGTGATCTTCTTCCCTTTCCCCAAAAAAGCCAACAAGAGATTAATAATAAAGCAGTAACTTTTTACTTGGTCTACTGGTCATGTAACATTGATTGCCTATATGAGTTACCCAATGTATTAAGTTTTAAGAAGCTTTATGTTTTTGATTGTTATAGCTTAATAGAACTATTTAATGGAGTCTGTGGGGGAAAAAAAAGAAAAAATAAGCTGCATATAAATGTTATTAATCTTGAAGTGTGTCAATTATTTTGTTTGTTTCACAAGGGATGTCCGTCGCTTAGTAGTGGCCATGTCAAGAGCCAGACTCGGACTTTATATCTTCGCCAGAGTTTCTCTCTTCCAAAACTGTTTTGAACTAACTCCAGCTTTCAGCCAACTCACAGCCAGACCACTTCATCTGCATATAATTCCAACAGAACCTTTCCCAACCACTAGAAAGGTAGGACTTCTCTTTGTTGAATAGAGAAACATTTTTCATAATGGGAAACTGGGATCGTCTTACATATAACTACATTAGCCAGGAACATACAGTCACTGATTTAAAATACTCCTCATACCAAGGGACTCAATTAGATTTTCTACATAAAAATAATATCAGCTAACATTCATTGATTTTTACCATGTGTCTGGCCATTTGCTGTTAAGTAAGAGAAGTTAAGTAGTTGTAGCCATGTATCTAGTAGATGCAAGATACAAGATTTGAAACCCCAGGCAGTCTGATTCCAGAGTCCATATGAGTAATCATTTTACTATGTATCCTCACTTCTGTTTTGTGAGGAGAACTAAGCTATATATTCGATAACAGAATAATGAGTAGTTTAGTTCTTAAGAGCTTATGCTCAAAAGAAATGGGGTCAGGAGAGCACATACTTTTAACAAAAAGATAAACTCAGAAATGCCACTCCCTTTTCCTACCAGCCTCCCTCTGTAGATAAGCAGTCTTTTTAAATCATATTTTATTCTCTTTGCATAAAGGAGCAGATACTTGTTTATTTTCTTATGTCATTTTCTTTCTTTCTTTAGTTTTAGGTTGACACAATATCTTTATTTTTGTACATTTATGTGGTGCTGAGGATCAAATCCAGTGCCTCATGCATATTAGGTGAGAACTCTACCACTGAGCCACAACCCCAGCCCCTCATTTTCTTTCTTCTGTGGAGGTTAGTTAGATACTACAGACTTTGAGGTTTTGCTTTTTTCATTTCATTTCATTAGCATTTTGGGCGGTGGAGGGTGTTCTGGAGATTGAACCCAGGACCTTGTGCCTACAAGGCAAGCACTCTGCCAACTCAGCTATATCCCCAGCCTCTATTAGATTTTAAGTAAAATTATTTTAAATGTTCATGGTATACTTCTTACCCCCTTCTCTTTTCCAAAAAAAAGAAGAAGAAGAGGAAGGAGAAAAAGAAATTATGTATTTTTATAATAATATCAAGTATTTTTCTTTAACTACATTTTTATTTTTTTAATTTTTTTTAAGAAATGCTGCTATGGATATATAGGAAGAAAGAGTAGTGGAGAGGTTTGATGGGGTGGTATCACATAAAACCCTAAGTGGACACAATCCCTTATCTCTGTTCTTTGTTGTTTATAAACCAATTATCAGACAATTGTTCATTTTAAGATAGAATCCTTTTTCTTTATTAATTTTTTAAATTTGAATTTGTTATATATGACAGAATGAATTACAATTCATCTTATACATATAGAGCACAATTTTTCATATCTCTGGTTATACATGAAGTAGAATCAGACCTCCTTTTTCTTCATATATATTTTTTGCCTTTATTATTTTCTGAATTGGTCCTTATCACAAGAAAGGGTAAAACTTTATAAGCATTTTATTAATAGGAAAGTTTTTAATCTTTATTCTAGGGCCATTTAGAAAGAAATATAAATTTTGTATTCATTTGCTTTACTGTTTTACACTGCTACAGTAATATTTCTCAGATTGTTATGAGACACTACTCTATAAGAATCACCTAATTCTAACCCAGATCTATTGAATCTAAATCCCAGGGAGCTTGAGCCCAGACATCTGCAATTTAACAGACTCCCTAAGGAGGACTCTGATAGACGTTACAAAGTGTGCAAAAGTATATTTGAATATTTACCACCATGACTAATAATAATGTGTTAACTTCTTCTATTTTAGAAAAACATAAATAGGAAGAATAATTTTAATATATTCTTTCTGAATTATTTTATGAACACCTTTGGAGCATACACACCACTAAGAAGTGCTACGTTAGGGACTGGGGTTTTGGCTCAGCAGTAGAGCGCTTGGCTAGCACGTGTGAGACCCTGGGTTTGATCCTCAGCACCACAAAAATAAATAAATAAATAAAATAAAGGCATTGTTTCCAACTACAACTAAAAAATAAAATATGAAAAAAAACAAGTGCTACTTTAGACCAAGTTGATTTATTTCCCTATTCAAACTATTTTCTCTTGTTAATTCTTCTAAAACCCATATTACATTTACCAGCTCAAAATTGTATTTAAAAACTAGTGACTCTTAACTTTCCTAGTGTGTAGCTTTTTTAGATTTAAATGGAATCATTACTTATTGGACTCTACACTTGTATTTTACTTATTTATTTTTTTTAAACTATGCTTAAATCCTCCAAACCCAACGTTGCTTACTAATAAGATACAGAAACAGCCTTCTATTGATATGTTAGTCTCTAGGGTTTTTCACTAGAAACTTAACTTTCTTTTTGCCTTCTTCTAGAACGGAGAAAGACCATCTCATGAAGTACAGATAATAAAAAATATGCCCCAGATGGCAAACTTTGTTTACAATATGTATATGCATTTGATACAAACCACACATCATTATCATCAGGTGAGTTCTCTTAAAATTGATTCTTATTTTCCTTGTTATAGAAAGAATTCTTCTCTTTTGTTAAATGAATCTTTAAATTCCTTGTGAGGAACCAACTAAAGTAGATTGTTGTTATTCATGTAGTATTCATGTTTTTAAAACATGTTTAAGTACATAACATTTGGCATACAATAAGGTACATGTGTTTAAAATGGACAATTCTAAATATTGTGACATACACACACCTGTCAAGCCATCATCACAGTCAAGATAATGAACATCCATTGTCCTCCCAAAGTCTTCTTGTGCCACTTTAATCCCTCCTTGTTATCCTTCATCAGTGCCCTTTACACCTTCTGTAGGCCACCAAGGATCTGCTTTCTGCCATTAGTCTCCATTTTCAGGCATTTATATAAATGCAATCATACAGTATATATTTTTCTTCTTTGTTTTTTTTTGACTACTTGTTACTCAGCATAATTGTTTTGTATTTCATTTGCATTCATTTTATATTTATATCAATAGTTCATTCCATTGTGTGGGTTTAGTGCAGTTTGCCCATGCACTTATTATAGGCATTTGGGTGGTTTAGTTTGGACTTTAACAAATGAAGCTGCTATAAACATTCTTGTACAAGTCGTTGCACTTTGTCTTGGTAAATATCTAGAAGTGGAGTTGCTGGATAATATGTTAAATATGTCTAACTTTCTCAGAAACCACAGCTCTGTTTTTCAGAATGAAAAACAGTACCACTTTATACTCTCTCCAGCTTTATGAGAGTCTAGGAACTCAACATATTCACCTATACTTGATGGAGTAGGTCTTTTTTTATTTTAGCAATTCTGATGTGTAGGTATGTAGTGATTTCAGTGTATCTTTAAATTTTTATTATCCTAATTTGAGTGTCTTTTTATGTAGTGATTTGCCATCTGTATGTCTTTAGGGATATGTCTGTTCAGGTCTCTGGCTCATTTTTTTTAGTAGGTTGTATGTTTTAGTGTGTTTATTGGACAGGTGTTTATGTATTTGGTGGCAAGTCCTTTATTAGATATGTGTTTTACAAATATTTTTCTCCTAGCCAGCTGCTGTGGCAAATGCCTCTAATATCAGACTCAGGAAGCTGAGGCAGGAGGATGGCAAGGTAAAGGCCACACTAGGCAACTTAGTGAGATCTTATCTCAAAATAAAATAGGAAAAGGGCTGGGAATGTACAGCTATCCCAGTCCTTGGTCTATACCCAAAGGGCTTAAAAATAGCATAATACAGGGATACAGACACATCAATGTTTATAGCAGCATAATTCACAATAGCTAAACTGTGGAACCAACCTAGATGCCCTTCAGTTTATGAATAGATAAAGAAAATGTGGTGTGTATGTGTGTGTATGTGTGTACACACACACACATACACGCACACACACACATAATGGAATACTATTCAGCATTAAAAGAGAATAAAATTATGGCATTTGTAGGTAAATGGATGGAGTTGGAGAATATAATGCTAAGTGAAGTTAGCCAACCCCAAAAAACCCAAATGGCAAATGTTTTTTTCTGATATAAGGAGGCTGATTCATAATGGGGTTGGGATGGAGAGCATGAAAGAATTAGACAAACTCTAGATAGAGCAAAGGGGAGGGAGGAGCAGGGAGGAGCATGGGAGTGGGAAAGATGGTGAAATGAGTTGGACATTATTACCCTAAGTATATGTATGAAGACACGAATGGCATGAATATACTTGTGTACAACCAGAGATATGAAAAATTGTGCTCTATATGTAAAATATGAATTGTAATTCATTCTGCTGTCATATATAACAAATTAGAAAAAAATAAATTTTAAAAGGGGGGAGGCTGGGAATGTAGCTCACTGGTAGAGTGTCCCTGGGTTCAATCCCCAGAACTACACACACACACACACACACACACACACACACACACAAATTTCCTCTTACTCTGTAATTTGTTCTTTCTTTTTTTAAGTAAAAACTCACTTCTAAATTTTGATGTTCAATATATAGAATTATTCTCCTATAATTCATGCATGTCCTAAAAATTTTGTAACCAAAGTTACAAAGATTTTCTTCTAGCAGTTGTATAGTTTTAGGTTTGACACTTACAAGTATGATATATTTTGAGACTCTTTTTTGTTATGATTCCAGGTAATGATGAATGTTATTCATTTGCATGATGTTTCAGCATCATTTCCTAAATAGACTATTTTTTTCCTCTGTTGAATTGCATATCAGATTAGTAGTCAAAAAAAGCAGTTGACCATATTGTGACTCTTATTTCTGGACTCTCCGTTCTACTGTATTGTTAAGTATGTCTGTCCTCTTGGGCATTATATTACCTTTATTATGGTAACTTTATAGTAAATCTTGAAATTAATCAACATGAATACTTTAGTTTTGTTCTTTTTCAAAACTATTTTAAATATTCTAGCTTCTTTGCTTTTCAAATTTAAAGTCATCTGGTTGATTTTGCCAAAAAAGCAGGTTGCAATATTTTTTATTAAATCCAAGGCATTTAACCACTGAGCCACATCCCCAGCTTTTATCATTTTTTAATTTTGAGATAGGGTTTCCCTAAGTTACTTAGGGCCTTGCTAAGTTGCTGAGGCTGACCTTGAACTTGTGATCCTCCTGCCTCAGCTTCCAGAGTCCCTGGAATTACAAGCATGCATTGTCACACCCGCATGCTGCAATTTTTAAATAGTATGTTTTGACGAGTAAAATTGTTTAGGATCAATATGGGGAGATTAACATCTTAAAATATTAGTCTTCCTTTCCATAATATGAAGTATATCTCTCCATTTACCTAAATCTTCTTTGGATGTTCTCATAGTGTTTATAGTTTTCAGCATATAAACCTTACAGGTATTTTTTTAGCTTTTTTGATATTTCATAATTTCCAACAAGGTAAACAGAGGAAGAGAGGCTATGTTTTAGCTACAGACTGCTGTGATGTGCAGAAGGCTGAGCATTTATAGCTGCTCGTCTAGTTTAATGAGACCAACGTCTTATGCCCTCCATGCCCCTCCCCCATCCCCCTGGCCTTTTTTCTTGGCTAGGATCCTCTCTACCTCTCTCAAGAGTTCTTCACTGAAGTTGGTCCTTTCTTGAGTTGGTGTGGCAGTCAGTCCTAATCAGCTATTTTTCTAAGCTTTACAGCATATTTCTTTGCTTAAAAATCAAATAGCTGTTCATGTTGTTTTCCTCTCTTGAGAATTTAATATATACTTTGATCCTTAGTGTATGACATCATATGCCTTTATTAGCAGACCTCAGGCATTGTTATCACAGGAGTTACATTCATAATATTAAATGGCCAGCAGTATTTTGGAGAATTCTAGCATAAATAGTATCTACTGGGAAAATGATATTAATATGAGAACTTGGCTTTGTACCACAGTGAGGTTTTGTTGTTGTTTTCTTTTCCTTTCAACTCATTGGGGTTGTCTTTTTTTTTTAGACTTTCTTACAGCTACCACCTGCGATGGTGGAAGAAGGTGAAGAAGGTCAAAGTCAAGAAACAGAATTGGAAGCAGAAGAAGAGGCCATGCTCATTCAAGCTGATGACATACCAAGTCCACCTGATGTCAGCTGTAGTCAAGAGACCCTGGCTTCTCGGCCTGATTCCACCCCCAATCAGACTGAGACCACTGCCAGTCAGACAGGAGCCAATTCCAGGCCAGAAACGGTTACTGCTTCTGTGCCAGGAGCTGTAACTACTCCAGTAAAGGCAACCACCCCTCAGGATGCCACATCTGCCCCAACAAAGACCAACTAGCCAAATTGTAGCCCTTTTTAGGGAGGACATTCAGTCATAAAGTCTAAGTAAAGTTACTTTTGGTATTTTACATTTGCTTCTGCTATTTCAATGGCACTAACTAATGTGCAGTCCTTATTTTTGTTAACTGGTTGTCCTGTATGTATTTTTAAATTATATGTATATAAACAGTTCAGTTTAATTTACTTAAACAGAAAGGCAAATAACTATTCCTTTGATATTTGATCACTGAGTGTATCTATCCTAATATGATTTCCTCTAGAATACATAAGACATACTTCACATTTTTAACAAACTCTAGACAAAAGGACAAAATACACTGGAATTAACTATAAGTGCTCTTGAGCAAATGTTCCAATTAGAGAGGAAATGGTTTCTTCTGTCATGCATACTGTGGGATATTTAAGTTCCATCATCTTTGATTTACCTTTTGTTTTTTCTGTAAAGACATTCCACTAAGAGCCATAGGAAAAAGATTTCTGTAGTTTATCAAAGAGGTTTCCTTCCCAAGAATCTCAGAATGTATCAGAATCACCTAGGTTTGTTGTTTATTCTTAGAGTCCACCTCAGACTTGGTGAATCAGAAACTCAAAGGTTACAACATGTCCTGCAGTCTGGTAGTGTTTGGGTTACTGGCAGAGTAGCATCAGGTAAGGCTGGTAAGGTTAAAGCAGGATTTGTCACCCAGCTAAATAGGAACACTCTGGGCAGAAAGCAGGACCCAGACTCTGGGCAACAATTCAGCTGACTTCATTCTTTGTGCAGGGTAGAAGACTCCCAGTGTGGAGTTCTGTTTTGTGTCATTTAGTTTTCTTTGTGGATAACAATCCACAAGGAGACCTTCAGGTGTGAAGTGTATCATATTTGGGAGGGTAGAGATATTAGGACCTTCCTATTCTAGTGTGATTAGCAAACCACTAGCCTTGGTTATCTTTGAAGTTTATTAGAAATGTAGAGATATGACCTCTGCTCCAGACCCATTAAATCTAAACCAGTATTTCAACAAAGTTCTTGGCTGATTTATTTGCATTTTCTGGTTTGAGAAGCACTATAATGAGATTATTGTGTTTTCTGACTACTGACCTCTGCCTATAAGGACTGTAAATGGGGTGGCCAGAGCACAAGAGATGGATATATCTATATAGGGTAGGGGAAATTGCACTTATTCTCTTTACCCCATTTTGATCGTCTGCTAGGCTGGCTGAAGGAGCACTTCCCCAAAGCATATCTACTTAGAGAATTTGAGGAAAGAATAAGAATTGTACCTCTCATCCTGGCAGTTTAAAGGGATGGTTAATTCATAAAGACATTAAACCCAGAAAATTCTATCCGTTGTTTTTTTTTTAGTGACCAGTGTTTGCTCAATTCTACCAGGCCATTAGACACACCTAACACATCTAACTTCATTAGAACACTGTATAAATGTTAGGAGAGGAGGGGGAAGTGAAAGGAAATGAAAAGGAGTGAAATGTGGAGGAAACTGTACTAGGAATCCCTGGTCTATTTGTTATCAGAGTAAGGATCAAGCCAGTCTGTTACATAATTTCTCTGATATAAGAATTTGAAAGCAGATGTTGTGGGCATCTGTATTAGGAATAGCACTCACAGAATTATTTTCATTTGTGAATATATGGTATCAGGCTAAGCAAGACAGAAAGAAGCTTTACTGTATTACAGTCTTTCCTGGAAAAGATTGATTTTTTTCTCTCTACCCTTTAGAGGATATGAATTATGATACCTGCAACCAAAATAAACAAACTACTAGGCAGCTTTCTCAAACTGTTTTCCAAGTGTCACTTAGAAAATCTCTCTGTCTAACTGGATGACCATACTTTTTTCTTTGCTGCTTGATTTTTCTACCATACTTTAAAAAACAAATGCAGGCGGAAGATGGGTAAGCCTTTTGTCAAAGGAATTAAAAATTGGATGAGGATAGGGGAATTAAATTGTTCACTCACTGGGAAGGCCAGAAAGTTACAGAAAATCATGGAACTTTTAAAGGAATTTAAGGGATTCTTTTTTAAAACAATGAGGAAACAGAATGGAGAGGCTTAACGTGGCTGGCAAATGGGGCTGAGGGCAAAGTTAAGTCCATACTCCTAAGGCAGTGTTTTATTTATGTTTCAAATCTATAAGAGTGATGGCTTTTACCAATTCAAGAGTTTTCTATATAACATGGGATTCTACAGACAGGTACTAGAGTCGTTGACTATTGCAGATTAGTGTTCCCATTGCTCTCCATCCTGTTTTTCATATTTGAATATGTCATGATTTGGAATTCTATTTTTAAAAGGAAACCAAAAAGATGCATGCTAAGAGATTGAGCATGAAATGAAGCAATTCAAGTACTGAGACTTTTTTTTCCCCCACAAAATGCTGAGTTAAGAAAGTTCATTACCAGCAGCTGAGAAATAATAACTCCATTGATTTGGGCAAATGAATGAGTAGATCTAAATAAACATTATCAGGACTCTTGAAGTTGGTGTGATGGTAAAAGTTGAGATGTTTTGCTAAATACTAAAAGAAAACTGCATAAGTGGATCATTTATGTTTCTATTAAAAATGAAATTTTTATGATCAAGAAATAGCATGATATTATAAAGCAAACTTTGCACTCACCCTGACCTTGCTTAAATTTCACCTAATTTGCTTATCGGCCTTTGATTTGAACTTAGGCAGGATTTACAACTTTATAACCTCTGTAAGCCCCAGTTTTCTTCATAAAAACAGGGAAGAAATCTGCTTGGGGTTGTTAGTTTGTGTTATAGAATAATGTTTATGAAAAGATCCAGCTTCTAGGCACTCAGCAAATATGTCTCTCTCCTCATTTTTCTCCAAAACTTTGTGACAATGTAGTTAGTAAGTTGTCAACTAATCCTTTAACTTGACCACCTACCTATGTCCTTATCCAGAGAGCACAGAGGATAATGAAGGGGACATGTGATGCAATTGACATTTGAGGATGTATCAAAGATCAGGTCTTCTGGTTAGAAACTTCTCAGTCAGTCCATTAGAGCATTGAGGTTAGTCTCTGCTGAAACTAACATGCTCACAGAACAGTGTCACCAGAGGGATAGTCACTAGGTTCCATCATGCTTCTGATACGTGGAACTAATCAGGTCTAACAGTTGTGAATCCTGTACTGCCCCATCCTTAAATCATTTGTTATTAGATTTTCTTGGTTTTGTGCCTTGAGTGTGCTATTTTCTTATTTTTCAGTCATTCAAATGGTGTTTTCAGAGCCATTTCTTCAATTAAATCAAGATACAAAAGATTTTTTAAAAATCCTTTTGTAGGAGCCAGAAGAGCTGTAAAAGATAAGCAGTGCTTTCTGTAGAAAACTCTTGGCTATTAGCTTTTGTAATTATTAGGCAATCATTGATGTTAATAGATATTTAAGAATGGTGGAACTGGAACTGTACTTAAAGCCAGGCTTGTAAGTGAAGATATGGGAGGCTATATTTCCTTTACCCACTGGTACTCTTTAGTGCCCCAAAAAAGCTTTAATTAAATGGGATCTAGAAGCTTTTGATGCTCTGGTTTTTCTTCCTAGGAACAAACCCTAGCCCAGTCCCCTGGAGCGAGGCTCAGAATACAGTCTGGTTACCACTGACAGTGTGCCAACTTTATTCTCTTAGCCCTCTCCCTTTGGCTTACACAAATTGCTGTGGTTGGTTAAGCTCTTTCACTTACATACAAAGTTTCTGGTCCTATTACTGTTCAGCGTATTTCAGAAAATACTATTGAAAAATACTCTGAAAAACCAATTTCCTTGGTCAAGTATGTTTGGGAAACAAAATGAGTTATTATTCCCCATTTGCAGAATCTCACTTGGCCAAATAAAGGTTCAAGAAGTTCTGCTGGAAAGAATCATGTTTATAATGTAACATTTCTCAAACTTTAGACCATAAAACATTTTTTTTTCTTTTTTGGTACTAAGAGTGCCCCTGAGTTCAATTCCATCACTGAGCCACATCCCCAGCCCTATTTTTCATTTTATTTAGAGGCAGGGTCTCACTGAGTTGCTTAGCACCTGGCCATTGCTGAGGCTGACTAGCCTCAGCAATCCTCCTGCTTCAGCTTCCTGATCCACTGGGATTACAAGCATGCACCACTGTGCCAGGCTATTTTTTTTTTTTTAATTAAAACAACTAATGTAACCATTTCCTCAGAACACAGTTTAGTAACCAATATCTTTACATCAGTGAGAACTTGGATTCATCCTTAAAAAATAAAGCCCAAATATTTTTTTTCTCTTAAGTAACCAGAGGCTGAAGTGACATCTGAAGAAAAAACTAGAGGTGAGTGATTTGTATAAAATGTCATATTATAGTGTAATTTGTTTAGTGTCATGTGGCATTAATACCAACATCCTGAAATGGCAAGTTAATAAGTTTGATCAATGAAACATGACATTCCTTCATGTGAGCCTCCTAAGAAAAGGTCACTGAGCTTTCTCTGTTTATGTTTTAATTTGAGACTCCAGAATTTCACACCAAGCTTTTCTTCTTATTCCTATCATACAGTGAGAGTTCATATTTCCAATGTGTCTTGTGTTCTCCATTATTTCTTTTTTTTAAGTTTAAATTTTTAAAAAAAAATTATTTTATTCATTTTAGTTATTGATGGACCTTTATTTATTTTTTTATTTATATGTGGTGCTAAGAATCGAACCCAGTGCCTCACACATTCCAGGCAAGCACTGTACCCCTGAGCCACAACCCAGCCCCTTAAGAGTTTATTTATTTATTTATTGTACCAGGGATTGAACTCAGGGGCATTCAACCACTGAGCCACATCCCCAGCCCTATTTTTGTATTTTATTTAGAGACAGTATCTCACTGAGTTGCTTAGCACCTCGCCCATTGCTGAGGCTGGCTTTGAACTTTTGATCCTCCTGTCTCAGCCTCCTAAGCTGCTGGGATCACAGGTATGCACCACTGTGCCTGGCTAAAAGTTTAAATTTCTGAAAAGAAATTACTTACTTGACATAGCCAGTAGACGTGAGCCAGAAATAATGGAAGAAAATTAAGACAAATACAAAAATGAATACAATTTCATTACATTAGATTGAAATACAATTTCAAATACATTTGAATGTTAAACACTGAGGATCCACAGATTTACCTTGCATCAGACAAGTTGAATTCTCTCTTGCTTGATCTCCAGAAATGACTGTCCCCACAATCTCCTTCCCCTCCATCTATGACTTCACATTGCACATTCATTTCATTCTTGTGTTGCAATTTAAGTTGAAGACCCTGAAAATAATTCTTTGAGAGATGCCTGATTTAATATAAAAAGATCTTTTGAGAAGCTGAGGTAACTTTTTTCAAAAAGTTCATAGTTCTGAATGGGAAGTTGTGAGTAAAAAACAGTATCTGCTTTAGTTCATTAGTTCACTTTGGCCATGTTTATTTGGTTGGCTTTTTCTTCTGGTTTCATAAACTGGACTAAAAGTGCTCTGTTACTGTATTCTCATTACCCTTGGCTTTGAGTAGCACCTTCCAGTATGCTAGTTTCTTTTAATCTTGACTGCCACAAGAATAGCAGTGGAAGAGGAGTAGACTTACTTAGTTTACATTTCATTTTGCTTTTGGACAACACTTCACTGTAGTGTTTTGAATTCTGTATAACAAAATGTTGCAAGATGTCTTCGAAACTCTAATTCTTGTGTGTTTGCAGACTATTGAGTACCTTCTGTGTGCCAGGCAACTAGGCTAGAAGCAACCTATTGGTTTATAGATAACACTAAGAGTGAATTGTCTAGGCCACCACAGTTGATTGAACTGGGACTAGAACCAGGCAAATTTCATACCATGCTGTTCTTTAAACTTCCTTGAGACACACTGAAATAGAAGCAGCAACACTTAGGTTTTCTACATAAGTAAAATGAGCCTACTAAGAATTCCTGTGAGACTTAGCATACCAGAGAAGAAGCTAGTTTGCCAAAATAAGGATGGGAAATAAGAGGTCTGTAGAAAGAATGCTCCAGTGTTTGCAAGGTTTGTACTTTTAGGAGAAAGCCAAATTAATATTTGTTTTAGTTTGAAAAAATGTATGATAACTCAATGGGAAAGAACTCTAGTGTGGTAATCTGTTCCTCCAAAACACTAATTATCCTAAAGCCTTTTGTATTTTAAACAATGGAAGAACAGGTTAAATAGCAATACTCTTAAAAAGAGTGTGGTGTCTAGTAAAGGGACAGATAGGTTTGACTAAAATCAGCACTTCAAATTACCATTAATACACCAACTGGTTTGGCTTTCCAATTAACTCCTCCTATCACAAACCTAAGCACTTGTGCATTTGAGAGTTGAAAAGAATATCCATGTGAGTTAAAGTTCCCAAGGATATAAGTTTATTTGTAAAACAGTTTAAAGTAATATGCTCTTAGAGAATTACAGAAATAAGGTTTTAAAGGCTGCCATTGCACATCTTGATCTAGTTGAACTCATTAAAAGAATAGGCTTATGTGGGCTAGCAGAGAATATGTCCTCTACTGAAACACAACCCTATCTTAGGGGAAAAGTCATGAATGTCAATTGTCATTGACACTTCAATAATTTAATTGTTCTTAACTTGCCATACTACTATTAATAGTAGTATACTCACGACAACTGTTAATAATAGTCGTGGGTAGCTGGATGCAGTGGCACATGCCTGTAATCCCAGCAGCCCGGGAGGCTGAGAGGGGAGGACCAGCCTCACCAAAAGCTAGGCACTAAGCAACTCAGTGAGACCCTGTCTCTAAATAAAATACAAAATAGGGCTTGGGATGTGGCCCAGTGGTAGAGTGCCCCTGAGTTTAATTTCTTGCCAAAAGAAAGCATTTATTTTATCTCTGTCAGTATTGGTTTTGACTATTTTTTTTAATCTATATAAATGGAATCATACAGAAAGTGCTTTTCATGTTTCCCTTTTCAGATACACTGATCTTTTCAACATCAAGTAGGAAGAAAGGAGTCAGTAGGTTAATTAAGCACATTTTCTCAAAAGGCCTTCCTCTCTCTCATTGTACCAGAGTGTCATCTTTGTCACAAATATGTTCATTAGCTATATTCTTCAAGATTATTGGATTTGTTAGTCCTTGTGGACTCTTAGGAGCATCTTGTCAATTACACATCCTGCTGGGATATTTATTGGACTACACTGAATCTATAGTAATTGGCGTCTTTACTATTTAGGAATAAGGTGCCTCTTTCTATTAGGCCTCCTTTAATTTTTGACTATCATTTGTTAAATTTATTCCTAAATGGTTAATTTTTTTGCTATTATAAATGATTCATTTTATTACATTTGTAATTGGTTGTTAATCAGCATATAGAAATATGACATTTTTGTATGTTTAGTTGGTATACTTTGTTGAATTTATTATTTCATATAGTTTGTAAATTAATTACTATTATAAAAGTTTTATTATCCTCTTTGATCTTCATGCTTTTTCTGTCTGTATGCCTTTCATTTACTTTTTCTACCTTATTGATCTGTTGAAAACTCTCTAGTGTTGAATGGAAGTGATCAGAATAAGTACATTTGTTTCTTCCCAGTCTTGGAGGCAAAGATTTCAATGTTTTATCATTGAGTGCAGCATTTGTTATAGGTTTTTGTTGAATATTTTTAAGCCTATTTTTATTAATTTCTATAAAAATAATATATTTTATCAGATTTTAAGTTTCTATACCTAGTTTACTGTTTTTAAGTCAGTACCCATCATAATCTAATGCTTTTTCTCTCTTTTGCTGTTAGTAATGACTTACATTAATTCATTTTTCTATTAATTTTTTTTCTTTTATTTAAAGCCATAAATTGCCATTCTTCCCATGTCTATTAATTTTTATTGGAATACTGGACACTACAAATGCTGTGTTGTTGAATGTTTGGATTTTGTTTTCTTCCTTTAAAGAATGTTGAAGTTTGTTTGGGCAGGTTGTTACTTGTGGATCAGATCTGTGGGTTTTATTAAGCTTTTTATGCTTAAGTTGTGACCCATCTGTGATCCCTATTGGATGCCCCAGGTTTTCAATGAAGTGTCTCTAGTAGGGGTGGTTTACATGTAAATATTTCCTCATCTTGTGTGAGCTCTGAGAATTGTATAGCTTATCACTGACATTCCTTGCTTGACTTCTGGAGTTTTATCCCATGCACTAACCAAGATTTGAGAGCATGCCTCTTCAGATTTCCAGAGCTCTTTTTGTGTAAAATACTCCCTTTTCAGTTAACTCTGCCTCGTAAATTCTAGCCAGTTCAGCCTCTCAACCTTCTAATCCCTCAAATTTGGTGAAACAGCTAGCCTTCTACTTGGGTTCTCCTTTACTATGCTGCTGACTGGAAATCGCATCCAAGCAAAAAGCCAGGACAGTTACAGGACTCACCTTGCTTATTCCTTTTTGTTCAGTGATGAGACCTGTTTTCCTGTGGTTCTGTGTCTGAAAATAGTTGATTCACATATTTTGTGTAGTTTTCTAGTTGATTATAGTGGGACGATAGATTACTACTTTATGAGCAGCATTAGTTTTTCATATATTAAAGCAAGTTTATATTTCTAATCTTCTAAAAATAATTTCTATATTTTTTGATAATATTTTGTTTAGGATTCTTACATTTATGTCTTGAGATTGGTCTATAACAATAATTACATTTGAGTAATTTATAATTATAATGATTAATACATAATATACTATATTATATTAATAATACTAAAGTATTGATTATTAAATAATTGTTACTACTAAATAATAATTATTATTTATTGTCAGGTTATCAAGATTATGCTGACCTCAAATTAAGATGTATTCTCTTTTCTTTTCACTGGAAAAAAGCATATGTAAATTTGGTATTATTTTATTTTTAAGTGCTTATCAAATCATATGAGAGAAGAT